TACGCCCCCACTCGGCAGACTAAAAATTCAACCAAAAAAAACCTTCGCTTCTGACGTCATACTTCGATCGTCAACTGAAACAAAAAATGTCCTTTCAAAATAGAGATTAGTATCTTACATATTCAATGATTTTAATTTCACACTTCATTTAATCTTTCCCTCTGTAAATTAAGTAATAAACGTTGGGGAACCACACTAGACAATTTTAAACAATACTACATTATTTTAATCAAAGTAATGTGGATTCAGTTATTTATCTTTGAACTACCAGACGGACACAGAAAGTAAAAAAAATTTGCTAGGACGATGTACGATTTTTATTCTGGGGTGACACTTTCCCAATACTTTTTCTATCGTACTAAATCCCCGTAAATTTGTCCACAGATTTTATGTAAAATAAAACCTTAGTTGTATTTGTTGATCAATACTTATACCAGATTGATGAGGTAGTGTATAAAGATAATATATTAAATTATGAAATAAATTTAATTTAATTCAATCCAAGATGAAGATTTAGGAGATAGAGAATGAAGAATTCAGACCATGCTGGCGTAGACGGGATCACCTAGATTGATACATCCAAATGATTCAATAGCAAGGTTGGTTCCAAACAGAGGAGCTGCGCCATAACGGTTCCTGTAGGGATCGTCAGGAGATGCCATCCGGTATCTAAGATGAGAGACGCAACAATGAAATAAGAAGAAAGAGAAGAAACAGGTAAGAGGGAGGTTATAATGATTAGAAATTTAGAGAAAGGACAATAGGACAGGAGAGAGAGAGAAAGAGAGAGTAAGAGAGATAAAGAGAGAGAAAGGGAGAGAGAGAGAGAGAGAGAGAGTGGACGAGCAGCACTGGGAACAAGAGTGACTTAAAAGACCAATGCCTAACAATAATTAAAATGACACTACGAAATGATGTGTGCTGATGAAGGCTTGCTTGAGCTTTGCTCGTCAAATAATTTAGCTCACAACTATTATACATGACTTGAGATTTAATTTGCTGCCCTAAATTTCATCAGTACATGGTTTAATCTTTCCAATGATCACGGGAAATGTTTGCATATTTTATAGAGATTGTGATATTCTAAAAGAAACAAATATAATATGACGAGATGCTTACGACTTGAGTGTCTTCAGTGGGTCTCCATTCTCCATAAATTTCCCTGTATCTGGATCAACAGTAGTTTGACGGCATCTTTGTCAGAGATTTGGAAAGGAAACACATTACGTTGGGTATTATAGGACCATTTCTCTTTGAAAGGTCTCTCATGAAAATTGCATCCATATATTTTAATTTAGCACATAAATAAATTCTAAGTCAAGACAACAGCAGTTTGTAAGTAAATAAGCAGACATAAAATAAATTTACGTTTCAAGATTGATTCAGTGCAAATTGTGTTGCTATCAAATAAATCCCGTTTTACCAAAACAAATTGCTGAGCGAGTACACTTATTTTCCACATTTCAACTGCAAATTGTTGTTATTAAATTTGATGTTCTAAAAAATAATACGCAACATCAATGAAAAATCTTTTTAAAAACTGTGCATTCCACAAACAAAAACAAACAAAATGCTACACACTGATATTTATAACTCTATCAGATCATGTCAGTGTGGGTTTAGGTTTGAATAGTCATAATTATGAACCATACATCCAAATTATTTTACCTGCCACAAAGATGGGTTGTCCTCAACAAGATATTTTCTCCAATTCTGACATATTTCCACTTGTCCTGCGAAAAATGATAAAAACCCACTTTAAAAAAAACGAAAACTTTCGTGCATTCGCTTATAATTATGTACCAAAAAATTGACAGATTTCATCATTTTATTAATCAAAATTAATTTTTGTATTAATCCATTTTCGATAGAAAAATTTCAAAGTAATGGATGTATGCCTGCAAAAGCTTGCACTGCTCAATATCTCACCTCACTTTCGAAAATCTGGAAATGGGTTTGTTAAAATCTCTGACGCCAATGTGTAAACAAGAAGTAATCGGGACACGCACTATATAATAAAATAAAATTATATGACTTTACAACACACATCTCTCACCATGACACCAGGGGGGTGTTTCATAAAGAGTTCGTAAAGTTACGCATGACTTTACGAACGACTTGTATATGAAGTGCCAGATAGGATGCCCAAAGTTTTTTTCTGATATTTCTCATAACCTCAATTAAATTATGGCAAAAAATATACTTTGCATTAAAAATGGTTGTTATAATAAAAATATTAATCTACATCTGCACACTTCAACTTAATAAATAATAATCAATAATGATTGAGCATCCCATTTGGCTTTTCATATACAAGTCGTTCGTAAAGTCGTGCGTAACTTTACGAACAGCTTTATGAAACACCCCCCTGATGGTATTTGACCTCTACCAACTGGATCATAAATAAACAAATACTCATTTGTATACATAGTTAAATCGGTAATAAACTGCCAATAAATCTATTGTGAGAATAAATTCACCAGCAGTATACATTAGAAATTGCCTACAGCCCTTTGGGAAACCATGGACACAATTGAAAACAGGCTAGTTTCAAATTCCTTTCAATCCGTTACCCACACCCATGGGTAAAATGATGAGAAATAGTAGTTCGCTCCAATTTTTCAAAAAATTTCACAATTCGTAATTTGTCGATAGTCTAAGGGACGGCTCATGGTATCCTCTGGAAAGGCCGTTATATAAATCTAATTATTATTACAAAGGCTTAAGAGTTTTTTTAGTCGTTTATTTAAATGAAGAGAGCATGTCAAATTCTATGGATTAATGAACGTTACCAAATCAAACTCTTTAATAAAACAATGATGAGCACACATTACTCCATAGAACTGGAGAGAGAGAGAGAGAGAGAAGGGGAAGAGGGGGGGGGGGGGGGGGGGGGACGTGATAGGCGGTATAGTTGCAAACATCTAGAACCCACCTCATAGAATGCAGGGGTTCCTTCCACAACAATATTTGGTCTGAAGTTTCTGATCTGCACTGGTTTGTCTAACTTAGAGTTCAAACTATCAAGGGAAGCAACGCTCAAAATGTTGACTTGGGCAAGGTCCTGGTACGCAGACTGAAAACAACAAATCGGACATGAACCATATTCATTGTGACACATGGCTGTATAGAATAGTGTACATAATGAATGATAATGACATTAATTTTAAAAGGCTTGGAGTAAAAAGTAAGAAAAGTTTATATAAAACTAAATTAAAGAACAAAAATATAGAATAATTCTAAAACATGTTTACAAAATATGATATAATAAGTTAATACAATATTATGAATATAAATATGGATCGACGGATAAAATTGCTTATCAGAGCATTTGCAATACTCATCAGACTGTATAACAATACATCGCCCATTGAATGATACACTGTAGTATAGACAATGTATCGGTAAATCAGGCAATATAGTGGTCCACATGAGTGATCTTTAAAATAATTCGTTTTTATAAAGAGTAGGACTCGTATAATATATATGAAAATCTCTTTTTTTTTTTTTTTATTGTTTTCAGATGGAAAGGCATGAGATCATTTTGGATTTTATACATAAGATACAAGTTTAGTATAGGCCTACTTAACTCTTTGACGAAAATAATGATTACTAAGAAAGTTCAGATACCATAGTAAAATGAGGTGTACATAAATCTGCGTTTAGTATAAGTCTCGCACAGCGGTTTTGTACTTGTTTAAACTCTTTTTATTCAAGTTCAAGTTCAAGTTTTATTTCCACATCTGATTTTAAAAAACACAAGTACAATTCATATGCATATATGCAATAACAACGTTAAAATGAAAGATCTTCAATTTAAATCATAATGTGGTGGGAAAAAACAGAGGCCAATGACCTATCAAGGTTATTCCCAAAGATAATAAAATGTACACAAAAATGTTCTTATATATATATATATATATATACTAAAAACGAGATAGAAATACAAAGATTAAAATAACACAAAACATCAATATATAGAATTAAACCAGACAAATCCATTACAAAAAACAAAACAGAAAAGGCATTTATGTAAAAATAATCCTAATTATGCATATTCATTTACAAGATATTTCTTGAGCTTTCTTTTGAAAATTGATACTATTGGACATAATTTGAAGTTCTTGAGGCAATTTGTTCCATAAATTTGGTCCGGCATATATAATTGTTGTTCTTGAGAAGTCATAAGTAAACATTGGTAGGTGGAAAAGATTTGATTGACGAGTTTCATAATTATTAGTCACATTTCTATTACATATAAAACAATCATCTAGAAACTTTGGAAGTATATTGTTAGAAGAAGATAACATAAAGATACCAATCTGTTGCGTATATCATAGATTGTTAATATGTTATGTTTTTTTAATACATAAGCAGTGTGGGAGAAAGGATGTAAGTTAAATTTAATTCGTATTGCACGTTTCTGCCGAATTTAATATGTTACATATATCACTCCCCCCATTTAATATTGCAGTAGTCAATGTTCGGATTATTATAAGTAATCAAAAAAGCATTTGTGCAAAAGATATCAAAAGCGTCTGATACAACCAATAATTCCTGACAATTTATTACAAAATGCATCAATGGGACAAATTTAACATAAGCAAGAATCAATTATCAATCCAAGGTACATTAAATTGACATGCTTTGTAGTTTCTTGTTCTCCACCTTCCACGTGTCCCAGTTAACACGCATTTTGTTTCTGTATACGTTTAGATTTATTAATCTATTCTCCTCGATCCATAGTACTAGCTATTGCCAATTACTGTGTATAAAAAGTACATAACAAGAGATTTTTATTTGTCTAAATCGGAAACTCTTCGCTGACACAATAAACGGATGTACCAAACTGTATACTCCACAATGGGTGGTGACGCAGTAATAAGAAACTCAAGAAGACAGCAGCACGCCAGCAGAGTGCAAACATTTAATTTAAATAATTATCTCACCCTTTCTCCTCTCTTTCCTTCGCTCCCCCAAAGAGAGTCTTCTAAGAACACCTTCCCCTTGAATCTCTGTGAATGGCGTACTAATTTATAACCAGGTGATCCTAGGTACTGGCTGAGCCATTCACTGGCTGCTTGACCACAGTCTTCACCTTCGACCATCAATCTCCATAACCTGATAGAGAAAGTGTGTGGGTGAATGCGTATGAGAGTGTGTGGGTGAATGCGTGTGAGAGTGTGTGGGTGAATGCGTATGAGAGTGTGTGGGTGAATGCGTGTGAGAGTGTGTGGGTGAATGCGTGTGAGAGTGTGTGGGTGAATGCGTTGGAGAGTGAGATAAGAACAAGAAACAGAAGGTTAAATAAGAATTTTAAGAACTTAACTGATCAGAATGCAACCATTATTTGTACTGTAGATTTGAAATCATCCCAAAGATACACACGCACACACGCACACACACACGAACACCCACACAGGGAAGACACTTTACATTATTTTGAGTAAAATTAACGTATTGTGACCAAATCAATGTAAACATGGAAAGAGATAAAGAAGGAAGATGCAACAAGATATTCAAAATTTTCCTTGTTTTAAATACGTAGGTCCATCGATGTGAGAATAGACCGGTTTACTAAGTTTTCAAACTTTTTGCATACTTTTTAAATAAAGTATATTCTTTACAACCCGAAAGTTCGCCCGAAGCTTGTCCGACATAGCAACAAGTAATATATGCAGACTGGATTCCTAGTACTGTAGATTACTGTAATAACTCGTCAGAAGGTCCCCAGGAAAGAAATATTGCAGTGTTGAAACTTCGGATAATATCGGGAGTCTATATTTTCTAGGAATGTAATGAGTCACATACTTGATATTATAGACAGGTCCCTTTGGGTCTTCGAGATGCACTGTGAGAGTTGGCATTCCAGGAGCGTTGACCAACACACTCTCTTTGTCTTCCGAGAGAGATGGAGATATCAAAGCTATGGATGGTTGCTGTCTTTGGGACACAAATCTGCCTTCAGGACATACGATGAGAAAAGATCTGAAAAAGAATTGGAACAAATGAAAAGAGTCATGATTTTTTTTAAAGTATTTTCAGTTCTGAGTTTCCCAGTTTGCGTTTCCATTATAAATAAAATACTGATAGTTGATCGTACACAGATCGAGAAATTATTTTCATCATAACTTCAATAAATTGTTATTCTTACTTAAAGTAAACATCTAACATAATTCTTTTAGTACCTATACACAAATTATCAAATTTTGGAAATATAAGTATCATGGTCCAATAGGCCATTTCCGTAATGTAAACAAATTAAATGCACACATCTTTGTGAAGTGCCTCGAACGAATTATTTCATTCACCTGTTTCGAATGATATCTGAAAAGTCGGAATGCAAGTTGCATACATGACTTGTTACAAGGTATAAGCATGGACCCTAGTACAGATGGACTTATAATGAGAAATCTTTTCTTTGATCACATCATGACCACCGCCACCTGATAATGTGTATGTTGATGAGGATATTCATTTGACGCGATATTAGGGACTTTTAGATTAGGGACTTTTAGATTCGCACGAAGACAATGGGGATTGCGACGATCGACGTCCTTTTAATGCACTGCCTTGAATGGACGTCACACGTATCAGTCCACGCAAATCTAAAAGTCCCTAATGAGTGGACGAGAACGGCGTGAATGTCCACTGATCTTGCGTGTCCATGGTAAGCCGTTTTAACATTTATTCCTATTTCTTGATATCAAGAAATGATTTCATGTTGTAAAGCAATGGTAATTCTTGGTATCAAGCAATGGTAATTCTTGGTATCAAGAATTAAATTCTCGATATCAAGAAATAGGAATAAATGTAAAAACGGCTTGCCATAGACACGCATGGTCAGTGGACGTTAACGCCGTTTTCGCCCACTCAATCTAAAAGTCCCTTTAAATGTTGATTATGTAATCACGCATCATCACAGACAAACGAACCTTTTACATTTCCTCAGATTCTTTTCGCTGGGCCAGGGCCCGGAGTGTATAATTCCAGGATAGGTATCGTGATTTCAAGGGCCCATGACATCGAAATACAAGTGTATTCCTGTTGGTGTGCAGTCCTGCATACATCTCATATTTGATATGTAAACTTCTGAATTTGTTTCATAGATTTTTAAATAATTTTTTAAATATTTGTTTTTCAACTTGCAAAGCTCCACCCCCAAAACCTCCAGATCTCATTCCCCTTGTGACATCATCTGTCAGTCATACTTGAGAAAGTGGTATGTATCTTTGCCGAAGTCGACCACCTGTTATAATACCACAAACAATAGCAACATATAAGTTGCTATGTCAGACATGTCAGACTAAACTAATATTCTAGAATAGACAATGGTATGTAATTTCCCCAGCTTAGCACACGTTCATAATAGAATTGCATGCTTCCATACATAATGTACAATACATCATCATTGCCTTTGTCTTCCTGGTGATACTACAGCATGTCTGACATATCAGCTTGTATGTTGCTAGTGTTATAACAGGTGGTCGACTTCGGCAAAGATACATACCACTTTCTCAAGTTAGCTCATTGATGACTGACAGATGATGTCACAAGGGGAATGAAATCTGGAGGTTTTTTGGGGTGGAGCTTAGCAAGTTTGAAAAACAAATATTTCAAAAAATATTTAAAAATCTATGAAACAAATTCAGAAGTTAACACTGAGATGTATGCAGGACTGCACACCAACAGAAATACACTTGTATTTCGATGTCATGGGCCCTTTAAGACCAGTTAGGGGAGCAGTGAACCCCAAATTATGACAATTTGTGTGATATTAGATTGATGATTAAAGAAGTGGACACTGGTAGACGTACAGCTTGCCAAACTTCAGTCTTTACTGTCCTATTACCTTCTATTCTTTGGAAATGAATAGGATATGTTTTAAAAATGAAATTTGAAATCATTGTGTTTCAGCCAAATTTACAGGTTTCTCTTGTAAACTACTTCTAATTTCCTATTGAAAACTTCATATACGTCAATATTCATAATTATGTACGCCACAACTGCTCATGCATTTCCGTGACTTTAAGCGATTCGGTTTCTTTTGCGCATTTTGTAGATTCTTCAAGGCACAGATCTGCTTTTTCTTTTATGGCTGACTGGCGGCGGTCGTGACCTGGTCGTTATGAGATCAAAGCTTGCAAGCATGTTTGGAATGTTATTATGATACTTTTGACAGAGTCAGGTGCATTAATATCTTATGGTCCCGTTCAGTGTCCATTTAATAGTGGGTCCACATTATCCGTGTTCTGCGCAAAGGTCGTGTTTAGAGCTAGTCAGTAGGGACTTTTAGATTTGCGTGGACTGAAACATGTGACTTCCAAGGAAGGTCGTGGCAAGTTGGCCGAGTAAGAGCGTATGGACAACATTAAAGGTGTAAGTCAAATATGTATGGAATATTTATGGCTGCAGGGATTAACTTATGCCGACTATGAAGCCGGCCCGTCTGAACACATGGCTAATGTGGATTGCCCTTCCTATCACTATGAACACGACAGACAATGAAAGCGGACAAAATATACAGTTCCTCAGGTAAACAAAGGGACATCCCTTCACTGCTATTATGTAAAAATGTGTAGAACAGGTGTCACATGCATATTAACCTGTTCTACACATTTTTACATTAATAGCAGTGAAGGGATGTTCCTTTGTCTACCTGAGGAACTGTATATTTTGTCCGCTTTCATTGTCTGTCATGTTCATAGTGTATGTACGTCACTTAATGCATGCAATTTGCATTTTGGCGCCAGTTTAAATGGCAATAACGATAATGCATGTTGGTTGCTGCCATACCATTTGACGACGTACGGCAAAACTCAATAACAGATCTTCAATTTACTTATTCCATTTGTAATCATCTTTGTATTGTTGTTTATGTTATGGGCCCATACACCAACCTACCATTGGCTAAAGCTAGACCCTTATCCACCCCCCTTATATTGGAACAACATACACAAATATTGATCGTACAAACTGTATTAATTTTCCTTGTGGGAAGGGGAGATTATAAATTATAATTAATCTCACCTGTCCATGACTCCATCACTCCTCATCCCAAGAGCAACACACTCGGCCTGAGAAACCTCCAACCCTCTGCATGACTTGATAGGATGGACAAAGAGTTTAGACACTACTCCAACCTGAGTGAACTTGCGTCTGTCTCTACGTAGGAGATATGAGATACCTAACACACCTACAGCACACGCTACTAGACCACCAAGAACAAGGTTGTTGCTGGGAAACTCAGGCATGACTATTTTCTTTTATCCTCTAGAGATTTCAATCTGGATAAAAGCAGAGATATAACGTTAGTTGTGCAATTTGTTCAAGAAAATGAACAAAGCGAAAAAATGGTTAACTTCAGAATCCACTCCCATTTACCACTTATTCCACCCGGGACGAACTTTGGACGACACTGGACAGAATCGCGTATAAAGTAGGCCTACTAGCCGTAAATATATGCGTTTCTGTGAATCATTTCCTTCCCGACAATGTTGATATTACTTTCCAATTTCTTTGATATCGATTGCCCGAATGACCTCAATATGGCAAGATAAAGACAGGCTGCAGTAGCAGTAACTCTTATCTATTTTGTTATTATATACCTAGCTAGAACACGCTTATCCTAATGGTTACGTTTGGTTGTGATCAGTGGCGTACGCAGGATTTTTTCGAGGAGGGTGTTTGAAATTTCGGAAATCGCGCCGACCGATATTTAGCTCAGTGAGGGGGGGGGGGGGGGGGGGGGTACTAAGAAAACACTTTTTTTTTGCCCCCGCAAATGTGCAAATCGCGCCGACCGATATTATTTGGTTCAGTTGGGGGGGGGGGGGGGGTTAAGGAGTATTAATGTTTTGTTAACACCCCCCCCCCCCTACGTACGCGCCTGGTTGTGATACTAGACTAGAACGGGGCTTCAAAGTCTATGTTTACTTTAGCTCTTTATCAGAATTCGACTGAAACATAATGATGATAATATCAGTTAATCTGTCATAGATTTCATGGCAGTTGAGTTACAAAAATATAGGATGTTGAATGTCAAGGGTGATTCAAATTGATCTACAATGTAACAGGGTGAACGTTTGCTAGAGTAATTTAGCCCAATCATTCTTTTACTATGGAGAAGTTCAGTAATAAAATTTTTAAAATGTAAACTAAAATGAATACCATCAGTGTGTGGAAGGCTGACTTGGGTTTTGACAGCTTTTGACAGCTTTAAAGCGCTTGCTAGAGTATTTTTTTCGCTTACATAAAAGCATATTCAAAGGGTCTGAACTACAACATGATGCAGAGGAATACATACACTCTCGACTCCTTATGAAGGACAAAGCAACTCGATAGCATAGTCCAGTGTTTATTACTTATCATATTGACACGTCTCCCAATAGAATTAAAGATAAAGGTGAGTTCTGGTCATCCGATAGCATTGTGAAAGAAAAGGTGTGGAATGGATCAGAAAAAGTTGATCATGTAGCATGTAGGTATTGGTGTGCACTGCAAGGTTCTGGATTCATCAGAATCATAATAAATTCGGCCCAGTCTTGGTAAAGTAACAAGCACTATACACAGAAAGATGTATATGGGACTACACAAATAGTGTCGGGGCTACTAACCTTGATTTCCTAATCTTTCTATATGCTCATTACTCAGCCAGTATACATTTTCTACAAATTTTTTTGGCAAATGACAATATTTTATTTGTAACCTTGAACATTCAGTGTAAGTTTCGTTTGATTCTGTGAGAATTAATTTTGTCTTTTATACCAAAACTCAACTTTATCTTTAAGGTGATAGAAATCATCTCTGAATATCACTGTACACATAATTGTCTCGTTTGATTGACAGTGTATTCACGATTAACGAAAAGAAAGAACTTCTTGCAATGAAACATCTTCCTGATGTAATCAAATTTAAAGTGCCTCGATATAAAATTATTCATTCTCCTGTTGTTTAAAAAGTTAGAATGCAAATTGCATACATAAGTTGTTTCAATATTATGACTTGCCTTATCTAACAAGAAATGTACATGATCTGCTGACTCTGAATCTGAAACACAATTATTATTCTAGGTAAATGAAATAAGTTTTAACGAGGTACTTAATAAAGACTTATGCATTAATTCTTTCTTACATTACTAACATGGTCTATTGTAATCGTATTATATCCCCCCCCCCCTCCTCCATAACAAAATGGAAAACAACTTACGTCTTCTACACCGAAGAAGCATGTCTTGTACCTTCGAAAGTCTAAGACAGAGTGGTGTTTTTTAAATAACGTTCTTACATAACGTACTGCCTGATCGATTTGCACGAATCGATTTCGTTCCAACCCTTGTCCGTAGTTTTTAGGTGGTCTGTCGGTATCGACAGATGACCTATTATTTTCGTCAGAATTTTCTTTCTTTATTAGGTGGTCTGTCGTCTACGACAGATCATCTATTGTTTTCGTCTGAATTTTCTTTCTTCTTTATTTCTTTATTTTTTATTACTCCCACTTTTTTGTTCCGAGGATAACTCAAGATCAGTTCAGTTAATTTCTTCCAATTTTGGCACAGTTATAGGCCATTGTCATGAGACGTGACAGGAACATTTTCAAGGTCATCGAGTCTTCATGACATCATCCAGGCGCCATTTTGTGAAATAACATTATACCATCATTTCTTCATGACGCGCCATCAAAGGTCATTCATATTCATATCACATATATTTCAGGTCAAGGGTCAACAGATCGTGTCATCAAAGGTCAAATAAAGGCCATGACGTGCGCAAACGCGCGCGTCAAAATTTAAAACTGTTCAAAATCATTTAACTATTAAATGAGAGTACGAATCAGTCATTTTAAGCATTTCAAAATTTCTTTACTTTTTTTTTTCTTTTTGACCTTTCACTGTACCATCTCCTTTGAATATCAAAACACGTAGAATCGCAAATAATGCAATAAACAACTATATTTACTTTATTATTACTCTATTATCACTTGATCAATTACTTGTTTGCGTGTAATCCCTATGGGAGATGACTTTTTTCTCCAATCTGGATTCTACATTCCTGTCTTTTGCGAGCAATATCGCCGTTATTTCTGCTTGGTTTTTGTTGATTTTTTAATATGTTGTAGCTGAGACTATTATGCTATCTAAATGTTTCCTAATTTTTTCAATCAGATGTCAGGATCACGCTCATGATCATGATGATGATCATCATCATCAATATCATCATCATCATCATCATCATCATGGTCTGATGATTATCATCAACATCATCATCATCATCATCATCATTATCATCATTTTTATCATCATCTAACATTATCATTATCATCATCATCATCACCATTACTATCATCATCATCATCATGTTCACCATCATCATCATCATCATCATCGTTTACATGGCTATATAACTTCTCCCTTTCTCTATATAGTAACTATTCAAATATATCATAAGAATTGAAGACAGACCCCTATTTCGTCCTCATGACGAATTAAATTTCTAGTTTTTATTTTGTTTTAAATTCTTTTTTATATTGTTTATTGGGTACTCAAGGATGAGCGCTACGTCATTGACGTTCTGGTTCTAATCCGCAGTCTGAGATCTCTTTGTTTCCGCCAATTTAACAAATTCCTAATTTTGCTCAAAATCTCAGCACGGAGATCGAATAAAGTCGGTTTACTAACATATTTTATGGATGTTTCTTTCTTGGGGAACTATAGTGATGAGCTAACCTGAATGAGCTACAATACTCTGACTCCAAAATGAATATGTAACGTGTTGCTACGTAGGGCAAGCCTCGGGAAAGCTTTCGCGTTGGCAAGATAACCCTGAGTTTAAAAAGTTAGTAAGCCGGTCTATTGGAATAAGATAGGTCATCAGTAGAACATTATAGGAGAAAAGAAGATGTTTGCTTGCGTGCGTGAGGTTGTTTGTTGTGTGAGAAGAGAGAGAGAGAGAGAGAGAGGGGGGGGGGGCGGAGGGAGAAATCAGTGCATGCACATTTACGTGTTTCTATTAGTTATACTGAATTATCCGGTTGAAGAAATAAGCGTATAATGCCAGGGAAGAGCAGTTAACATCTACGCGCATTAGCAGGATAAAATACACCACTCCGATCTAGCCAGAAAAAAGGCGGTGAAAAAGTTCATCGAACTCTGGCTAAACAGGTCACCGCAAGGTATTGTGGGACTGCTAGGTCAACCCGGGATTGTAGTGTCGCGCGTGTCGGGGTAAAATTTTCCGATCACGTGATCACTCCTATTTCCGGTTTCTCACCGGCATGTGCACTCAATCGGAACGGGGTGTGTTTCTATCTACGTTATCCGGTTAGCCTCCCCTGCATTATCCTTCTAAAAGAAGGATAATTTTGCCGGTGAACGCGTAAAAGCTCTCTCCGGCATTATCCGGATAATGCCGGAGAAAGTGTGTTTCTATTAGGAAAACTTTATCCCTTACCGGCCATTAACCGGATAATGGCGGATAATGGCTTTAGATAGAAACACGCCGTATGAGATACGAGCTTAGCAAAAATAGTAAAGACCAACAGGAAAAAATGCAATTGTGTCCTGTACTCCAAAATGCCTTAATTGAACAACAGTGTCCAATGTGTAACGTACATGTAGTCATCAAAACACACTGCTTATTACCTTCATGTTTCGCCAGAAATTATGGGATCTATATAATTATTATGTTAATCAATAATTTGAGATGTAAAATTAGATATCACTGTATAAAGCGCATGTATTTTACCTTTTTTAAATTTTCGTTCCATATATAGTCTGCATATTCCAATAGAACGGTTTACTAACAGTCATATTCAAATTTATGGATGTTTCTTTACTAGGGACCTAGCGTCGAGGTATTCCATTAACCCGTTATTAATGAATGAAATACTTGGAATCCATTCTGCATACAGTACTTGTTGCTAAGACACAGGGAAGCTTTCAAAGCCAACCTCGACATTTGAATATATTAGTGAATCGGTCTATTTACCAGGATAATAAAGTTATTTTGTTACAATTACAATTAAATATTGTATGGAAGAAAGTGGAAAGTAGACTTCCGGTTTTCACCGAAGCCGCCGCTTATATTAGGGTGTAGTATTTTGGACGTCTTGTTTCTTAATTTGCAATTCGAACTAACTCATTTTTTAGCAATTACATAAATACGTTGAGATTACATAACGTGTCTGCAGACTCTTTCAGAGACCAGTGAAACACCCGTTCCTTCAGTATGGTCAATCTACACTTGATCTCTCATTCATCTCTCTCTCCTTCCCCGACTCTCGCTCCACCCCCTCTCTTATCCACTATCTCTTTCTCTGTATTCTTATGTAAAGACTGCATTGTATGCCTATCCAATAGGTCTACAAGAAGAGGCCATTTAAAAAAAATGTAATCAAATTGAATGCATAAATCTTTGAAAAGTGCCTCGTTACAAATGATTCAATTCACCTGTAGCAACTAATTGTATTTCAATAGTCAGAATGCAAATTGCATACATGACGTGTTATTAGGTATAGGACAAGCCAAAATGTTTAGCACAGAATACATATTTTGAATCATATTTCATCAAGATATTTTAATATTACTACAGAAGATACTACAATATGAAATCAAAAGCTTCCCTCAAAATAAACCAATTCTATAATCAATATACTTACATTAAAAAAATCAATTTGAATAAAGAGTTAACTGTGGGCTAAATGCCAACCTAATCCCAAACATTGTCTTATGTAAACATATATATGTTAGCACCCACATCTTCCATGTCCCTTATTCAAATATCCCTCAAAGCAAATGGAAAAAAAAAGACAAAGTCAAAGAATCTCAATAATTAGTTTGTATCATGCATATACCAAATGATCACCACACATCATTTTCTGTAGTTCAATATATTGCATTATGTTTCCATTGACATTTGTATTGACATGTTCAAAGTACATGTATATAATATATCACATATAATGTCAAATTAAGATGCGTTTCTTCAATTTTCCTATAAAGAAAAATAAAATAACAAAATAATGAAGTCAACTAGCGACATTGTACAATCTACAGTGAAACAGACATGGCTCCAACAAACCAACCGACATTTACTTGTAAAGAAACAGATGAAAAACCTACCATGTTTTATGTAGAAGAAAAAATAGACTACGAATTAGACGTAATCAAAATTCTTGACTGAATTTCAAATTGTCAGATTTGCATGAATTCAATAGCAGCTCTCCACACACTTGACAAAGTAACTTCAGATAAACAAACAGTTAGAAGCGGTAGAGAGGATGATTGTGGAATGCAAGTCAATTCCTTCCATGAACATCAAGTCAATTCTAAAAAATGCACACTACAACTGCAACAAACATTAAATATACATGTGTACTTGAAAAATTGATTTGCAAATATTAATGTACAATCTAATAGAAGATAATGTGTATGCACTACCCTTCTATAATCAACTCACAGCTGCCTCTCATAATTGATATGTATTAAAAGAAAATAAATGATGACCTCAAACACATTACAGGGATTTTCTTAAAAAATAATTCCAAACTTAACATCATTTTGCTCAAAAGGAATCCAAAATATCCCCAAGGTAATAGTTCAGATAAATTTGGATTTATATTAGAGTGTACAGCAAGTGTAAGAGGTGTCCCAAATAATCCTCCAGTCAAATGATCAGACTGCTATCAAATATGGAATTGTAATTGTGATCTTGGCAATCAAACATTCATAACTTTCTTAATACTTGTCCAATATGCAAAGGTTTGATTGCCCTTTTTAAAGATAGAATTCTACAATGATTTAAAGATTAAATCTTCCAATCATTTCTTTCTTCATATCCAGAAGTGAATTCCAGTGGAAGTAATCACTTGTATCATTTACTTATCCTTTATATTTACAATCTGCAAACAAACTTTGTAATTACAGTCACAACTCATTTGGTATAAAACTTTCAGCTTAATCAAATCACTATTAATGAACTAAAACAGTATGATTTCTTAAATGTAATGACAAATGTGAAAACTTAACTTCATTTTCAATAACAAAACCATGACATATAATGTGCTTGACATGACTATGTACAATTTCTTGGAGAACAAAACAGAATCAACATTAGCAATTTAATATACTGATCCGTGATAAAGAGATACTTGAAGAAAGGGCATTACATTTCTTTGTTTGTTCACATTTTCTTCTTCTCTAAGGCACTTTTAAATTTAGGGTGCAGGCTTTCGAAGAGAAAACATCTTTCATAACTTGGTGAAATCTAAAAACTAAGATCCTTTGGAAGAGCAAGAGTTAATCTACATTGTAATATTAGCTCTTGTTTGTGTAAACTTTAAGCAGCAAAGTGAATGAATGAATGCTTCTACAGGAGTCTTGTAATTCAATGATGAATCTATCAGTTTATATCATCAATGACAAATTACGATATTATCTTCTCCTCTTCAGTCGAATAACATGTCATGTTTAAATTGCAGTGCTCATACGAATATTGCATAAGTGAATAAAGCAAACCATTCTACCCTCTCGATTCTGAATAGCAGATCAATGGGGAAGAATGCATGCAACCTTTATCATTTTTTTTGCTTTTTTAGTTTTAGTTTTTTGTTGCGTTGTCCAGCTCCCCACGGAATGCATACATGACATTCTCAAAAGGTTTACAATGGAAGTTGAGCCTTACAGATTTACAGACACTAATCATATGACTTCTATCACAATGATTAGCTTTCTAATGATATTCACATACCTTTAAATCATTATGAATAAAATCTGCTTACACATCATTATTTCAAAAATCAAAACAAAAGTTAAATAATTCAAATATATCTACAACTCACTTTTTTCACAGCAGATACTTGGGGTTGTTTCAAAACCCTAACAAGAATTATAATCACATGAAAAGAAATTTAAGAATTTTTTTGATATCAGTGATACAACAAATTAGCTCTACAAATGCAATCAATTTTGTAATATCTGTTGTATGATACACTCATTCAGAGCACTGTGTAAATGTTACAAGCATGCTAATAAAAAAAGAAGATAAGTGAAATACTTCAAGCGAGCAAAGTTAACTTACTTATATTATCAAGCTACAAATGTATATCATATCTTATCAGTTCTACTATTCATGCCTTCATGAGAACTGTACATAAATGATAAAAGAATATAATTTGTAGTTAACTGACAATGGAAGGCATTGCAGTTAGACTGATAAATGGTAGATATGGAGAGGAACCCTTCCATACTTCATTCATTCATTCATTCATTTATTTATTCAGTCAAAGTCATTTTTAATTTATTAATGCTTCAATAGAAAGGATCCCGACGCATCAGTAAATGTCAAATTAGGTAAATTTGAAGAAAAAACTTTTCATTATTTTAATAAATGTGACAAATATGTAGATCTTTTGTAAATGTAAAATTACAGAACTCTTCCTCCCAAAATATCACTACAATAATACTTTTTTATCATGAACTGGTAAATTAAGGCATTGAAGGTACAAGAATGAATTACAAGAACTTGTATGACTGTCTTCAATGTTAGATTTAAACCCACTACTAGGTTTGGTTTGATCTACGTCAAGTCTAACAAAAAACCTTGGACAAAGGTCTCCATCCTCACTTTCATAAATATTTCAGACAGAGCGTGAAACCCAGCTGTGATTGTAAAACATTTAGTAAGATATGTACTTTGGTGTTCCATCCAAATTCATCTCTTTCTTCCTCTCTCTCTCTCTCTCTCTCAAGCACATATCTCTTTCTGATACAGACACAAATACATAAATTAATATGAATATTCATGTGTCTGAGTTTTCTTCATCTTGTCTTGTACTCAGATAGCTTGGATTCTTAACGTGATGAAGATGTTCATTCCATCTTGTTCCTCTCCACATTGGTAATGAGCTCTTCTTCAGAATCATCAAAAGCACCAAGGGCCCTACACAGAATAACAAATATTCATTCATGGAAATGATTATGAAATGACTGTAATGAATGTTGACGAGATGATTGAAGTGACTATAATACATGTCATTCTATCATGGAACTGTAAGTGACAGCTAGAATAAATATTTCATATGTCTAATTATTAAGATATTTGTTTTATTTCATTCAATTAATTGTAAAAAAATTGAATGCAATAAAATAATAGCGAATAATAATAACGAAAACAAATTACAAATACATGCTGGCAGCACAGTTTTTCCTTGTTTTCTTTTCAAAGTTTGTCACCTACATAAAATAAAAAAACACTTGAGGTTTTCTTTTGAATTAGGCAAGATGAGGGAATGTGGTCATAGTATTTTTCATCCATGATCAATTTAGTTCTTAAGGTATCAAATGGATTTCAATAGAGCACCATGCTTTACTGTCTATTCTGGTTTGATCCCACATTACTTGCAAACACCTCCACAACTATAGATTAATTATTTGATTTGTTCATCTTATACTGCTTCTAAATGCCCTTAACTGCAATATTATGATTGTCTACATGGCATGAGAGAGATAGAGAGAGAGAGGGAGGGAGGGAGAGAGAGAGAGAGAGAGAGAGAGAGACTTACGCATCAGCCACAGCAGCTGGAATGTTATCTTCTACCCACTGTAGATCATCCACCTCCTTGGGTTGGTTGCTGGACCTGTTAGAGTGTACGTTCCGCATCTTTACACTCTCTACAATCACAAGAAACATAAAAACAATACTTTTGAGATTACAAGATGTAACATCCCTCCATAAATTTATAGGAAGCTAGTAAATATGGGGGGGGGGGGGAGGGGCGGTGACAATTTTTCTATGGAATTTAAATTGAAAACTCCCTGTTTCCTTCAAATTTTAACTAATTAATTTTTGAGGTTCTTTCAGAATGATAAATAATCTTTCCCATTAAATAAATGTTGATCAGTTCTTTAAAAAATGTCCTTGATGCTGTTGCTTTTCTCACATTTTGATACAAAGTAATAAACAATATTTTAATGACCAAGTTAATATGAAGAAAAAAAAAGTGTCATTCAACATTACAGTGTCCTCTTCCAAACTAAATCTTGGTAGACCTACCAAAGGCATCGTTCATCATTGGTTCTTTACTCTCATCCTCTTCCACTGCATCACTGAGTATAGAGTAAGCATAACGTTGGTTGTTAGCTGTAGGTCTGAACAGGATCATGATCACAACCAAGATCACACAGAATAAGATATGCCAATAGGCATCATCCACCCAGATCTCATTCCAGTTCTAAAACAAGAGAACAAGAGAACATTAATCAGTTTACATTTGAAAGGCCTACTCAAACATGAGGTAAGAAACCATTTACAAGGTAAATATAAGAGCAGACAAAGTGTGCTTCACATGTCTGCATCTCCTAATATTAAGATTTTTTGGCATTTTGGGCACAGCTATCATTTTCACCTACAAAATTATTGCTTTTTGCTATCAATTTACAAGCGAAATTTTTCCACATGGCTTTCTTGTGGCACTTTACCATGTCATGTATGAATTGGGCTACCAACACAACGGTTGGTACCTTTGGAAACAATCACTTTAGAGCATTGTTTCAGGAGTATTGAAGCTGTAGTCGCAAAACATAATGATCAAAATATATCCATGATCGTTTGCTCACCACTATCAATCTTCCATATTCTCTTCTTTCATTCCCCCATGTGTCTCTATCATATACTGTTGTATTTTCATTAAAAAACTGTAACTTACCTTTACACAGGTGTTGATCCTATGTGCCTTGAGAGACCACACTAAGAAGACTACAGCAGCAACTACACAGAAGATGAGGGCGTTAGTGAAATGACGATACAGCCAGAGTTTGACCAGGTTACGCCTCAAACGTAGCGTGCGACTGGTATCCACCAGGCTACGGAAAATGTGCATGGTTTGGTCAAGGATTATAATTCACTTTTTCATTATAAAGTCTTTACTGACTATGGTATAGAACTGCAGATGCAGATATTTGCTTCCTTTAAAATAATTGACGGACAAAGTCAATACACTATCATACACCTGGGAAGAAATCCAAAGGGACTGCTTTCACGCGAGTATACATATATAATATCGACTGCTTAGAGAGGACTGGCTGTTTTTATACGCACCCAGGCGCGCCTCGGGTTGATAGCAGCTGAGGCAAATTTCCCGAGAGCCCGTATAGAAACAGCTAGTCCTCGAGTATTAAAGCAGTTGATATCCCTTTTATATGCCAAATTCAAACAAAAATCTACCAAGAATTCTTACCTTATCCTTTAATCGAGTAAAGATTGGTTAAAACATCACAGAAAATCTGAGAAACTGTCTGTTTATCACCGTCAGAAAAATGACTGACATTTTTTATCAGTTGGGAATCGCAGACAAAAAGCACTCTTTGGTGTCCGCTCTCGCTCAAAGAACATTTTAACACGTAAACCAATGGGTATCGCAGCAAAATGTTATTATTTTCCCGGTAACTGGAATTTTACTCTTGGTTCGTTTCTTTACGGGAATGGCTAAATACGACTGCAATTTCGACCAATCAGATGGCTGGATTTCTTAAGTGCGGTATATAAACAGTTATATTCATAGTTACAGAAGCATTGTATACATAGACAGTTATATTCATAGATACAGAAGCATTGACAAGCAGACAGTTTTCATATTCCACAAGCATTAAGCTACGGTTGAGCAAAGATGTACTGATTTATTGAATTTGTGGTCGCAACATACCTTAACTACTGTTTACAGAATTTTCCATTATTCTCTTATTTTGATAGGAATGTCTACCATAGAAGTCTATTTACAAGTATTTGATAACAAAAAGGATATCCACCAGCAGAGCACAGCATCCAATACTGATATTGGAAGGAGGGCTATCAGGTCGTTGGACTTGTGCTACAAGAGTAAGAACAAAATGAAATAGGGCAATTAATCAACACCAGAAATCAAGTCTGCAGGGAAGGAAACAGCAAGAAAAAGAGTTTAAACAGGAACATGGAAAAGAGAACTGTAACCTGTCATGGTACAAGGACTGGAAGTAGATTTGTTTTAATGATTATTGACATGTTTTCAGCCTGACAATGAAGTAAACAATGGCTCATCCTTCAAATTGAAGAATGCTATAGTGATCAAACAAACAAAGAGACATGGTATACCAATCTGATGATGATCCCATCTTATACATCTGTCAAACATTAAATGTCTGCATTTTGTGAGATCATTCATTTACTTGGTCAAATTACATACTCTTGAGTGCTTCCTACTTCTTAAAATTTCCATTGATTTTGAAATGAAATGAGTGTTCTAATATTTACCGGTTCAAATACCCTGAAGTATGCTTCAACGGAAGAAAGCAAGAAGAACAAAACACCAGCACCTATCAACCAGTTGAGGTCTCGTCCCAATCGAGGCCTGCAATGAAACAAATGGTTTCAAAATCGCAATTCATGACTTATCACAACCTCTGTCGATTTGTAATGCACACCACTCTTTATCATAAACACAATACAACTTCACATCCTGTCCCCTAAAAGCCAAAACAGGGTTAACTCAAGTTAACACACATTAATGGCATTCAGGCTCTCAGCTAAAAATATAAAGAGAAATATAGAGGCAAGTGTTCATTCATAGACTGTGCCATTTCATGTCAACTTGACCACCACACTATTCAAACTATTTACACAAGAAGTTATTGAATCTAATATAAAGATTATGCAATTTGGAATCTATCCTAAACCAAAGCACTGTAATGTTTACTAAGATAATTACTATATGTACGTCAAAAGTATTATCATAGTCAAAACAAGTCCCTATCAACCACCATGCATCTTCCTGCACCAGAACAATTCAAACTAGTTGAATAATTTAAAGTCAAGAATAAATGGATGAAATCCAATGAAAATGTGTGTCACATGGTTGAATTGAGGAGGATTCTTACCTTGTGATTCCATAACCCAAGCTGACAACAATAACAAGCATACGAGCCATAGTACGCTTCAATACAGACAACTCTTCAGCAAAGAATAAGCCTGCAGATGTATTCGAACCAGAATTGTTATGACGTTCATACTCTGCTACAAATGCAGCCTTCTCAATAAGCCCTAAAAAGTAAAACACACACAGACAAACAATTATACAGACATCACAAACAGAGTTCCTAAATCACTCAACGAGTCTATCATTTACTAAATAGTCTTGTCAAAGCTTTATAAGCCTAATAGCTCGCACTGTTGCACATGAAATGTATTTGAAGACCCAGTTGGGTTACGACAATCCAGTCAAAAATATATAAGTAATCATTAAATCATGTCCTGATTATGAAGTGATGCTCTATCTATTAACCCTACATTAACTGGGGGGGGGGGGGGGGGGGGAAAGGGGGGTCAGTTTGACCCCCCCCCCCCGTAGAAATTTCGCGACTACTCTGAAACCGCGGCAGATATAACATTTTCCTTTCATGACTTTTTTCTTTTGAGTCTTACGCATCTTTTAAAATGATTTTTTCAAAAATCGGACATATAGTTACAAAGTCATGTGACCTTTTGTCTTCGCATGTCAGCCCGAAAATCGCTCATTTTTGTGATTTGTGTACAAAACATATGGAAATGTCATTTTTCCTAAAAAGAGATAAAACATTGGTTATTTAGTCTTGTTTAGAGTTTAGGTGTTTGTTTTGGGGTCAAAATAGTTTAATTGTAGTTAGAAATGAAATAAAACAACAAAAACAATAAAACACATAAGTTAAAAAAACAATGAAATACATAAGAAATTATCAAAACAAGAGATAAAATAAGGAATAACCTGGCTCTTTCAATTTTTTGTGTTGTATTATTATTCCAAATGGTCTAACAAATATATGCAGTGAAAAAGAATGCTTAAATATGAATAATGTATGATTTATGGGCAAAAATGTGAATTTTAAGACCTTATTTGCCTAACTTACCATAAATATGCAAATGAGTGAATTTTTCAAAAAATTGAAATAACCATAGTATTCTATACACTTCACTTGACATGTACGCAAATTTAGCGCCGATCGGCAGTAAAACGGCCGAGATCTCAAGGGGGGGGGGGGTCTGAAATAGCCCAGTTAAAATAGGGTTAATGTCCCCTATTACTCTTCTTCTATGTCACTGATGTTTGAATGAAATAGAACATTCTCTGAATATTCATCGTACTAGATAAAGATTATTTGACAAATTATGTCGTTGAGAGCAGTTACAAACTCCAGTTAAAAAAGACACAAAACAAGTTATTAAACACATAAGGGAAAGTCTATGCAATACCTGGTGCTAGTGCTCATAATAATGAAAACATTTCAGAAAAAAGATACTGGTAATTTTGTCTTAATAGTTTTTACCCTTATAGTAGGAGACCAGCCTGTAGGTCCCGTGACCGATCTCTGGGAACAAAGGTTTGTAAGTGTTTTTGTGTTCCCTGATGAATACCGAACCATTGTGACTTGGGCTGCCCCCTTGAAAATCCCGGGCATTTTCGTGAGGGGTCAACAAAGGTCATACAGGGTAGAAATTCAAATATGTTATAATTGTGTCGATATGCAAATCAAATTACTCGTCTGGTCATGAGGATTCCAAAAATGTATAGTTTGCTATATCTCCGACCTTAAATAAGGGCGCTATGGTAAAAAACGTTGAAAGGTCAACACACTTTTGGCTGGTGGTCAAATTCACCAACACGGATAACCTTATCAAATTGCATATCAAATTACTTGTCTGGTCATAAGGATTCCCAAAATGCATAGTTTGTTATACCTCCGACCTTAAATGAGGGCACTAGGGTCAAAAAGGTCAATGCACTTTAGAAATTCACCAACACAGTTAACATTGTCCGATTCTAATGATTTAAGGGTCTAATAATATGTTTTCTGACATGGCAATTTAACTATACAACTTTCAAAAGTAAAATTGCTTACCTTGACCATGTACATTCAAAATGGCTGCTGTTTCGGTGACAAACATCTAACAACTACTTATCCATGGGTTTGAGGGAAATTTCAAGGTTATGGCAACCACTTTTGATTTAAGAGTTGCTTAGTTGAATTTGTTATGTCAGAAAACATATTATTATACACTTAAATCATTAGAATCGGACGATGTTAACTGTGTTAGTGAATTTCTAAAGTGCATTGACCTTTTTGACCATAGCGCCCTCATTTAAGGTCGGAGGTATAACAACTTATACATTTTTGGAATCCTTATGACCAGACGAGTAATTTGATATGCAATTTAATAAGGTTCATTGTGTTGGTGATTTGACCACCAGCCAAAAGTGTGTTGACCTTTCAACGTTTTTTTACACGATTGGAACTATTTGAATTTCTATCCCTGTGTGACCTTTGTTGACCCCTCACGAAAATGCCCGGGATTTTCAAGGGGGCAGCCCAAGTCAAAATTGTTCTGTATTCATCAGGGAACACAAAAACACTTTCAAACCTTTGTTCCCAGAGAATGGTCACGGGACCTACAGGCTGGTCTCCTTCTATTATGCTGTTTTGATTAGATACTAACCTAGTATGATGACAACAGAGATCCAGAATTGAATTCTGAGAAGATCTCTCCACTGTCTAAATAGCAATACAATCCATATCAATCCTAGTATGCTATACATAGCACACATTACTCCATAGAACTGGATGAGAGAGAGAGAGAGTATGCTAAGTTATTACAATAACACATAAAGTTCCTAATTTTTGTTGCAAGTTCTCATATTAAAAGTCTTACAGTGTTTCTTGAAAATTATATCAAAGTGCAAACTGACACTATACAATACAGATGCTTCGATTTGGAAACATCTGAAACCATCCACGTTTCTCATGTATGTCAACCAAAAGTCTCAAAGTAGTTACAGAACCCATTGCTATAACATAATAAAACTGTGTTCTTACAGTTTTTATTTAATCATAACATGTACATACATACAGTGGACCCTTATGAACTAGATGGAACTTTGACTGCGCGCAGTCAAAAATGATGCCTCCGCCATAGAGCAATTTTACAAACCAAAACAGAAACAATTTTTAAATTCAAGTTTGATTGTAATCCATCTGTGGGTTTTAATGATAATGCATGCACAAGCTATTTTTGGCATACATAATGAGCCATGTGACCTTTGACCTTCGACCTGGTGACCCCAAAATCTAATCAGTTCATTGGCTCTGCAAGATACATACATGACTTGAGTTTGATAGTAATCTGTCTATTTGATCTCATGATAATGCGATCACAAGCTATTGTTGGATACATAAAGACCCCTGTGACCTTTGACCTGGTGACCCCAAAATCGAATCATTTCATTGGCTCTGCAAGATACATACATGACCTGAGTTTGGCAGGAATCCATCAATCGGTTCTTGAGATAATGCGATCACAAGCTATTTTGCATACATAATGAGCCCTGTGACCTTTGACCTTCGACCTTGTGACCCCAAAATCTAATCAGTTCATTGGCTCTGCAAGATACATCCATGACTTAAGTTTGGCAGGAATCCATCAATCAGTTCTTGAGATAACGCGATCACGAGCCATTTTCGCATACATAATGAGCCCTGTGACCTTTGACCTTGGATCTCGTGACCCCCAAAATCTAATCAGTTCATTGGCTCTGTGAGATACATACATGACTCAAGTTTGGCAGGAATCCATAAATCGGTTCTTGAGATAACGCGATCACGAGCCATTTTCGCATAAATAATGAGCCCTGTGACCTTTGACCTTGGATCTCGTGACCCCAAAATCTGATCAGTTCATTGGCTCTGTGAGATACATACATGACCCAAGTTTGGCGGGAATCAACCAATCGGTTCTTGAGATAACGCGATCACGAGAACGGGACGTACGGACGTACGTACGGACGGACGTACGGACGGACGGACAACCCAAAAACATAATGCCTCCGGCTACTTTGTAGCGGAGGCATAAAAACAGCAGTGGTGCTGATCAGGGTGTTCTATCCCACACAGCAGTGGTGCTGATCAGGGTGTTCTATCTCACAAGTGGTAAATAAATCAATTAATATCACTCATCCTTCTTTAGAGTTTTAGTTTAAAATTTTCTTTAAAAAATGTAATATAAAAATATAACAAAATTCAATTTCAAGAGAGATGTTTCATTAAATCAAGTTTCACATCATGATACATGTACTTACAGGTAGAAGCGGATACTGTGTAGCTGACAAGTAACCATGGGGAGATTTCATTCTTATTCTCACTGCAAGAAAACAGAAAAACATTGATACAGTCATTTTCTATATATATCCCCTTCTACATTCATTTGCACTAAGAACAATTATCTTTGACAATGAGTCCTGTTGGAGTGGAAATTCTTGTTTCTTAACTTCCTAAAATGAATACAACTTCATAAAAACATAATTGTCATGAGATTTATCACCTGTATAGTTCATTTGTCAAAGAGCATCTGATTTAATGAGGTTTGAAGCATTTTAAAACTATCCTATCTTCCTTAAAACCAAATGCATATAATATTCATGATCACTGGGATCTTTAGCATTAAGAGTCTTATTTCATGGAAACAAAAATATAACAGATAATTCTTGTTGCTTGCTTTTTCAGAGGGTTTCTTTCAAAATTGAAGTAAATTCTATTTTATGAAGGATAAGCCTGTGTTTTAAGTTACAAATATCATTCAAATATTGAAGAAAATTTCTGAAAGTTGTTAAATAGATAAAAAAAAATAATCTCCTTACTCCAAACCTAAGATCTATGAGCCTAAAACACATAACAAACCATACCATTACATGTACTTACATGAGATATTTATTTGCTTTGCACTTAGTGATGTCACATTTATAATGAAGAGAAAACGACCATCTTTCTGAGTGGTATGGACAACACGAGACTTCAACTGGAAAACAAACCATAAAAACGCAAAATTAAATTACCAATACTACTTGACCAAAAAGATAGATAAACCACATAAATTAGCTATCAAAGCTATCTGAAGAAAATTGATGATTGATTTGGTCTTCCACTCATCTTGAACATCAAATATAGACAATTCCTGTATAAGTATAATAGTCAGTAGTAATAGCATGGGAAAGTTTTACACTTTTTTTAAACTCTGATTGTACATGATAGTATGTTTTAGTATGTTTGTTTTTCTGTTCTTTTGTTCTTGTTTCCTTTTTTTTCCTGTATGTGTGTGTTTTAGGGGTAGGCTTTCATATAAGGAATCCCTCCTTTCTGCAAGTTTTATAAAACAAAGCCACACATAGTTTATTGAATATATTATGCTTCATCAAAAGTTGTCTAATTACAAGAAAACAACTGAGAAAGTCATTCCTTTGTTTAGCCTGCAACCCTCATAAAACATCACAGCAACATTTTGTAAATGAGAGATCAATAAGTAAGTTAGCATGTCAGTCATACATGAATATTACTAGATGTGTTTTCAGTTAGTAGACAACATTCATGACTGGAGATGTTGATCCGCACTGTATATTTGCAAGTCATCTGGACAAGTTCTTAAGCATACTGTAAAACCAGACATTTTCACAAATAACAAAACAAATTATCATGGTACGACAAATTTGGTATTTAAAAAAACAAATTCTTTTTCAATCATTTGCCATCATAAAACTTTTGAGAATTTAGACTACTCGCATAATTCGCAAATTTTCATGTTTGCAAAAGTTTATGGTTTAACAATAATACAACACTACTATTTGTAAAATTCCCTGGTCTCGAGATAATACAAGGAGACTTAACAAAATATGTTCAAAAATTAATCTTGGATGGTAACGTATTTTAAAAACATTTGTAGAGAAAGAGAGAGAAAAAACAACTTACCAGTGTGTTATTGGCGGCTATGGCTGTAACTTTTCCCTTATGAAAAAAATAAATGGATGTATGAACAAAATTAATGGATGTAAAAAAAACAACATGCAATAAGAACCTTTTCGCAAAAATTGAAGTATGAATAGATTGTATCATTAAAATAAATTCTTAAATTGCCATAGGCCTAAATTTCACAATTGTTTTATTTTCATGACCCACAAATACAGAGAGGTAAAGGTGACCAAACTAAAACTTTGTTTTACTTTGTTTTACTATGTATGTTAAGGATTGCATATTTTTGGTATCCTAAAACTGAAATATCAGCTTTCAACATGATTTCTGTATAGAGATATTGCAATATAGAAATATACTGGCCTTTCACTCAATCTTTCCTGTCAATCCAAGATTATCCAATTCTCCTTTATATATGTATCAACTGCCCTATAATAATCATCTGCTAAATCCTGAGCCCACATCTCAGGTGTTTTTTCCTAATTTGTTGTCAAAATACAAGAGTAAAATAAATATTTATCATTACTTGTTAAATAAAGACAAGTCTAGTTCAGTCTCAGGAAGACTGCCAGGTTATGAACACTTCCCCACCCCCCCCCCCCCAAAAAAAAAATAGGCTAAAGTTTTTTCTAATTTTCAGTCTATTCCTGTGTTCATTTCTAAAATACAAATATTATGTATGTCATTTTTGTCTAGAAATGAAATGAAGCAATTATTGAATCAGCTTTTACCTGGTCCTTGTCTCCTTCGTTGGCATTGTCTGTATCACCCTGAAATTTAAAGAGAAAAAAATGAATCTCTATATCTGGTAATGTGTTTTTGTTGACTCCTATATATTCAGCAATAAGGATATTTGTTGTTGTTAGTGTTTTGTAATTTCATACAGGTAAAAAATGATTGCATGAGCTTCAGAAATACAATAACAATATGAATGGAGCAATGCTAACTGAGTACAGCGAACAGAAACCTAATATATTTTTAAGTTACCTGGCCTCCAGCTCCTGGGTTTACTGTAGCCTAAAAGTGGGGAGGAAAATGAAAGAAAGATGTGGTAATATCTTCTTGGTGACTCTTTTCAATACACACCAACAAGGATTTGTATTTGCTGTCCATGCATAAGGCTTTTGGTACATTTATTACACATTTATGACAACAGCTCAGTGCAAGCCCTGGAGTTCAAAATGTAAAATATGCTCACATCACAGAATTAACATTTTCTAGAGAGCAGTCGTAATTCCCCAAAGAGTATTTGGAAATATTGTTGCTCGAGTTAAAAATATGTTGAATGAGCATGTAGCATTACAATGAGCAATTGTGTATGCACAAATCTGTTTACCTGGCCTTTGTCTGCTTCCTTAGCTACAGGTGTTGTTACCACCTAAAAATTAAGAAGAAATGAAAATCTAGATGAGACAGATCAATGTTGATTGGCTCAATTTTGAAGTCACTACCTTAGCACCATTTTCTCTCATCTTAACGCTGTTACAAAGTCCCTTTAATTCATCCTGATGATTGAAAAGAAATTAATAAAATTCTGTATTAAGATTTGTCCTATAATCTGAATGTACCTTCAAAAAAATAAAACTGTTTTAATTAGTAAATTGATGAGAAACAGAGTAGTATTAGGTATTTTTAAATGTTTCTTTACTACTACAATACATCCACATACATATAGTAACAAATATCTTTTTTTAATGGCTAGAAAAATACATTTTTGAAACTTATGCATTTCAATGAAATACTAATTTAATAAAACAAAAACAAACAGCTTATATTAATCATTCACACACTCAACAGTCAACTGAATAATGATCTAGTTCTAAGTTACCTTTCCTTCATCTCCTGGGTTTACTCCCTGAGGTACATGAAAATGGGGAGGAAAATAAATGAAAGACGTGGTAATATCTTCTTGGTGACTCTTTTCAATACACACCAACAAGGATTTGTATATGCTGTCCATGCATTTCTAAATGCTGGCTATAACTGTTATAGTCAGTCATTTTGAGGATAGATTGGTCTTATTTTTTATTAATGCATGTATGAAACATTTGTTGGTATTGATATGGAACTGAGAAAGTAGGTTTGAATAGATTATATTTTTAATAAATCAGCACTCAGTCATGCTACTGACTCTTTGTGTAACTAATATAAATATAGCAATCCAACCCAATTCTAAAGGATTTCAATGTGGCAAGCAACGACATAAACAACATTTGAGAGAAAGCCTGTACACTTTAATCATGAACACAATGTGAATACTTGACACATATATCTTATCATGCATATGGAATGAGAATAGACCCATAATTACTCTCCTTCGACTACAAAATCAATAGATATTTTTTTTCTGTTTGTAATTGCAAAATAAATGTTGCAATTCATTATTACAAAATGGCACATACCTCTGGATCGCCGACTTCAGCCCTCTTTTCTCTCTGAAAGTGATAGAGAAATACACATTGTATATTGGCGTGAAAGGGGTAAGAAAAAGAAAGTATATTTATTACTGCAACTCAATAAAGCATGTTTCTCAGAGCAAACAATATTTCAAACTCTTGAGCTAAAACCTACAGTAAACCAAATTTAATGGAACTTCAAATGACATATTATTGAGCATATAATCTCTTATATGCTCAAGTATTGTTTTAAACTCTTGTAAACCTAAAAAAATGTGTAATTGTTCATCATGTAAGGGCACACACTTATAATTATGAGGAAGAAAAGGTACACCCTTTAAGAATGTTTTTAAAGATTTGCACAGAATAATGTGCATTAGATTTATTCTTATGCAATAACAATAACTACATGACATGAAATCAATTTTAAAAAATTGTTGTGTTGGAATATTAAGCATAACTTCTGATATGTTGTCTGATCATTAAATTAAACAAATCTACCGGTAATCGTTATTCCAATTTAGCAATGTTGTTGTGAGCTACTGACTTCATTACTCATTCAATTCATAATGCTTTGGACAAACAGTACAAATTTGGAATTTAGGGAAGATGTGAAACAAATTTGAACATTCATGCACATAAAATGGAATTGTAGATATTAAAGCTAGTTGTTCAACCTGGCCACTTTTTGAAGCTGCTTGTTTAGTGTCTACTGAAGGGTCGTCTTAAGGCTGCTGTGCATAAGCGTCCAATTAAGTAGCCATATACACGTCCGGGCATACGGTTGAATACATGGGTACATGTACATTGCCGCCATGTCTTAGTTTTTTTGTTTTTTTTACCATAAATCTCCATGTTTAAGATACATCCCTATTTTTTAAACAAGGCCAAGAAAAAAATGTTGTAAAACTAATACCTAGCCTTTTTGGGGGTGATTTTACCTACACAAGACATCACAATACATCAGTTTTTCATGAAACATTGGCTTCTATTATTAAGAGAATACTTGATACTTTTCCGTCTTTCTCAGCGAGTGTGGGATGGCTGCCATACTGCACAGCACTCGCTATGATAAATCACATTTCGCCAAGAGAATTTTGCTCAGATTTTTTTTTGCTGACTCCATAGGAAGCAAGACAGGTCTGTGTTTGAAAAACCATGCAGGGAAGGACCCTTATTTTACTGCGAGGTGCAGTTGAAGGCTTGTGAACTTGTCACAAATAGTAGTAACAATGTTGTTTTTAAAACTAAAGATGATGTCCAAATAGAAATCCGGACATTGGCAGCTTTTAGTTTTAGTTTCAGAGTGGTGAGTCGACACCTCGTGTATGATTGAGCTGGGAAATATTTTTATTCACGGTGCCATGCTAGTGCCCTTCTGGTCACGAGTGTGCATCGCCCAGCAGTGTCAGGTGGAGGGGCATAAATCAACACTTTAAAAAAATAATTAAAAAATCACTGCGGCCGTGTATAAGTGTACTAGGAATCAAACATGTGTAGTTGTCTAATGGACGTGTACATGGAAGAACTGTGTCATAATAATAATAATAATAATCATTATTAAAAGGTGCTTATAAAGCACTTACCACTGAAGTGTCTACATGTAAGCCCTATAACAAACAAAATACAAAGATGAACAATTACATATTAAACAAAACAAAAAATTACAAATAAACCTCCAAATTACAATACATATGAAATATAAATCAATGTGAACAGAGTAAGTTAATCATCGTGTACACGTCGCAGCCTTACTTTAGGGGGTTCAGCATTCTCTCCTTTTGTAGAACTATCAACAGGTTTGGTAGCATCAGCAGAACTCTTCTTGTCTTCTGCTTGGAGAGTGCAGAAAGGAAGCTTGTTGCAGACCTTTGATGTGTTTGATTTACTGGAGCAATTCCAATAATCTCCTTTCAAGTCATTCAACTATCAAGGACAATAAAAGTTATAATAAAGCATTTATTACACACGTTTCTCCTTGTAATGATTTTTAAATCTTTTTATTCTAGGTAAAATTCATCCCTTTCAATATAAAAAGTCAGTAATAATATCTTTTTCTGTGCTATCTACAGAAATGATCTGAAGGTTCCTCTTGGAGTGTGCACTAACCTCTTTGAAATGGTCTTACATACCACATTATCTTTGATCAAGTAACATAAAAGGCCATAATTTACCTCCAAACGGATCAGATATTGTGGTATCACATTGGTGACTTGCAGGCATAACATCTTCAACAAGTTCAAAACTTGATATGCAAGCAACCTGAAAAATGAGGGATTTCGGTTGCAACAATAGAGTTTCCAATTCGCATATAATCTATAATGGGTAGACCTTTATAAATGACATGTTCATAAGGTAGCTCGTTACTGTGCCACTTTTTAGTAAATCATGACAAATGGATCCTTAAATTTGCTAAAAAGAAGGGGGAGGGGAATCATGTTTGGTTTGTAATAAAAATGTGAAATGTTGTCAGCCTGTATTCACTTCCTGTGATACATGAAATTCCCCTTTCAAGAATCGCTCTTGGTAGCACCAACACTTACCTTATCATGAGTGTCACCACCATTTTCAGAGCAGAGTAAGACTGGATTGGGCACATCTACACTCTTAACGAAAGAGATAGTGTGCTCCTCTGAGAGGAGGAAGCAGTCGGGACGTTTGTAGAGTCCATCCAAACTCTTTGTCCTGCTAGTTTTATTTAGATCCTAACAAAACAAGTAAAACAGAGAAGGTCAAAAGAGACCTTAGGTCAAATCTCTTTCAGATAATCTAGCACATTCTACCTGAAGATTGTGTTATGGCAGAAGAAACCCTGAGAAGAAAAAAATGCACACAAGCTCAATATAAATAATGTATAACTTTTAATGCGCAAACGCTTGTGTAATTGAAACATACTAGCACATGTAAAAAGGCGAGTTGAGATTTTCATCACTTAGTTGTTGTAAGTTAGTCTCTGATTTTCTAGCTAATAAGCTAAATTTGTTTTACCTGTCTATTCAGGAATTAATCCATCCAATATATTTATCAACACAATACAGGAATGTGTGACAAATGCAATCCTGTACTTCTTACAGGAACAAATATGAATGATTACATACCACAAAGAGAGGCCTGTAAACACCATCACAGTCAGATTGGCGGACAGTCCACTCAAGAGTAAAGGAACATCCCTCAGGATCTGAACTGCAGTTAAGCACTGTTCAGACAAACAAAAATGGAAGAAAAAAAAATGAACATGGTGGGAAAATGCTGCAAAAATAAACGTCACTTTGTAAATGGATAATGTTTTGCATGAAAATTGGTTACACATGAAGTACGGCAGTACCAATAGGTATCAAAGTTTTTACACAGAAATGATGCTTCCCTATATATAGCCTGGGAAAAATTAAATATAGATCAATGATTTGTGACTTTATCAAATTTTGTGACAATATACTGATTTTTAACTCAAAGCGATCTTTAAAAACATAGTTTACCTTCGACTCCTATCTCAGAGTTTGCGTACATACTTTTTTGCATCATAAGATACTCAAAAGCTTCTGGAATTTCCTGCAAGAAAGAATATTACAAAAATTAAAAGGTTTTCTAGAGATTGCATTACAAAAAAATACTACCGGTAGGTACTACAGTATACACTACATTTATAATACATGCTCTGGAATTTTACTTACACGACCATTTGAACAAATAAAGCATTTTCAAAATACATTTAAATGGAGATTCATTCAATTAACGATTGTTTTAATTCCGATTCATTAAAAACCACAATTAAGAATGAAAATGCATTTTATTTTGATGAATGTAAATAGTTGATAAAATAAAGATCATAAGAGATCATAATGCAATGCAAGATATAAAAATCCCTGCTAAATGGGAAGTTCACCTTCACCCTCATATATATCAAATTGATAAATAGAAGCAACAAAATTAGAGAAACAATTCAGTTTGAGAAAAATCGGACAACAAATAAGAAAGTTATGAATCTTTAAAAAACCATTGTACCGGTATGCAAATCTATGGAGAAACTAGTAAGAAAACGAGTCATACTGCATACATCATTTAGAGCAGAACAATTTAATGTGTGATGAACAACATGGATTTTGGGCTGGAAGATCTTGTTCAACTCAGCTTTTAGAAGTCTGTGAGGAGTGGACTGGTGTCATTGACCAGGGTCATAAATGTAAAGCATTTGACAGATTAACAATTTTGACAGATTTGAGGAACGAAGCAATTCATCATTACGGTCACTAACTTCTCACACGTGACCGCGCGCTTGCACCCCACCATTGATACGGTATGCAATTGCAATTTTATTGTGCAGTGGTTTGTCGTGAACCCTGTGAGAAAATTTATATCATAAGTCAATTAAGTCAATAAGTGATTAAGTCTTCATTTTGGGGGAAAATACTTCAAAAAATATAAGAAATTGACACGAAATAGGTAACAAACATAACAACTTTTAAATCATGACCATTATTTGAACAATTGATGATAATTTGGTTGATTTTTGGCATGTTTTAGTAGAGTATCACGTCAAAGCTACGGGTCAAAGTATAGATATGTTTCTGAATTAGCGCCAATTTTTTTTGTCAATTTCAAGTGAAATATTAGATAGATCTACTTCTAGTCTACGCAGACATGACACATCGGCGGATAGGCAGATTTTATTCATGTAGGCCGTACCCGTAGGCCTAGAATGTTACTCTCTCTGTCAACAACGTTAATGAATTTATCAACATGATCAGAATCATCACATCAGCATGATCAGATGATCAAGACATACTTCAAGTTTAATAGACATCCTGACATGTGATAGACTACTGATACTAGTCTAAATAGACCCTAGATCTAAAAGTTAGATTCCTCTAGATCTAGATCTAGCAATCTTTTTTACTTTACCGAATCCGAGGGTGTAAATGGAAGCGACACTTGAATATCAAAAACACCTGGTTCCAAGAACATCTCAGTAGAGGCAGCGACAGAAAATGTGAAGTAGAGAAGGACAACAATCCTCAAGCTGACAGTTTTCATTGCGCCTTGAAGCTCCATGTTACCTTCTTTGAAATAGAGTTTATGATATGACCGGTGGCGCGACGGTGTTCGTTGCTCAGCTCAGCTCAGCCTGGGCCTCGGTAGCAAAACAATGGGCCCGGGTCAGTCTCCTCGACAACTCTGTCGACTGTCCGGTTGACCGGGTTCGGTTGATGTCACAGACGTTGAATCTACTTTATATCTAAGCCTAACCTCTATCTGCTATGATGTTAATTAGAACGATAAGGACGTAAGAAGTCTTTTACATTCGAATTCCTCATCGAGGCCTAAACTGATATTAGAAAAATAACACGTTACGTTGATCGTCGCGCGTCGTGTCAAATGAGGAAGTTGGACACTACACGTCACAACATTCATGTCGTCAGCTGCAAACTCGCCCTATCATCATCATATATGTTCCGATCCAACTCAGCAGACACTCGGCGCATCCAAGGCATGGCAGGGAATGTAATTAAGTTAGTTTCAATGAATGCAGAAAAATTAGAGAAACAAATAACTGTAAATTTGAGCATTATCCTATTAATAAGAGGAAAGTTATGAATTTGTTGGAGTTGTCATCAGTGAAACACAAATTGGTAACACTATATATCTTGCGAGCTCCTCTCAAATTTGCTCTGTATACAGATAATGATGATAAACTTTTATTATCCTTATAGTTATTGATGACAGAATAGATTTGTTTTAAAGGTAGGCTTTACTACTTCAGCCAGAAGGGATTAGACCGCCCAGCGAGCCAGCGAGGTTACTGTGACAGGTGGCTATCTCATTAACTCAGCTCTTATTTAACATAAGAAAAAGAGGACCATGGGGGGACCAACAGGCACCGATTGGGGAAGTTTTCTATATAGAGGGAGCAAGTAGCTACAAGTAGGACAGTGTGCCTTTAAAACAAGGGTTGTATAAAAAAAATATTTGCAATACTTTGGTGCTCCCTTTTGGAGGAACTATGAATATGTCAAGTATGTCCTAACTGTGAAATTTAAACGTTAGCAGTGTCATAGTATTCAAATTATTCACGAAAACCCGACTTTCTAGACATCACTGTAAACTATTGAGTGAAAAACTTTGCAAATCACAAGACAAATTGGCAACTCACTGAGTCAGTGACACCATTGCCTCACTATCCACTAATCGTTTTCTTTATATTGATAATATAAATTTCCAATTTTCCCCCTAAAAATCATGTAATATGTTTTTGAGTGGATGCACTATTTTTATAGAGTAATTTTTTTTCAGTTAAATCATGAAAAATGTGAATTTTGATGTGAACTCTTTATATAAAAATCAATGATTATGAATATACAATAATCAGAAAATAGTATCAATTCATAAAAGTTCATAAAAGATTTTTGTGAAATGTCATGCGCACGCAATATGATACAAATCAAATAACCTGGGCAAAGGCATGGGGAAATCAAGTTCTGGGGGATAAACAGGGAAATTAATGGGATAACAATAGTGAGGCAAGGACGTCACAAACTAATAACCAAATTAGCAATTTGTGTAGTGATTTTTAAGTTCCATAGTTTTTAATACAAAACAAAAAAATCATAACTTCATTATTAGTTATTCGATTTTACTCAATTTGTGTGCGTTCTGTTTCTCTTGTTTTTCTTCATCTATCAAAAGCAAATTATTTTTGGAGTGGACTTAGCCTTTGAATCAAGTGAGAGACTAAACATATAAAGTAAGCTTAATTGTGTTTTTTTTTTTAAATAAAAAAACTTTACAGGCATTGTGAAGTTTCATCACAGTGAAAATGAAACGGCTCTTCTTCTGAAGAACACATTTTCATAATAATGGGAAGAAAACTGCCTCTGCCCCTACATCCCAGCATTTGTAACTTTATCCCTTTTTTTATCACAATACCTTAAAATGAAATAAACTTTTAGTACAAAGTAGAAGTATTTCATGCATTTTCCTTGTTGATATGAATATAGTAGCTCATCATAAAAGACATATCACAGTGGTGTTATATAAGCACAAGACTGCTTCCTACACCTAGCTACTCACCCCCTAATGTATAAACCCAATCAGGGAATATCTACAAAGTCTTTCCAAAAATCTGATAAGTTTCTCCTTATTCTCATATCAATCATGATGTTTAACGCGTTGAACCATCTTGTTCTGAACTGGGGATTTTGACTGCAGTCACTGTCACCAAAGGTTCTCTTTTTCACAGAAACTGTTATTTGTAAAGAATACAATGAACGACTGTCTTCAATTTGATGAGTTTATTTCAAGATTCATATGAAATGAAGAAAACTATTCTTTACTTTCTGGAACTAGAATAGAATGCAGGTCTAGAGATGGTGCACTTGCATTTAATACATAGATAAATTAAACTGTTACAGTTTAATAAGTTTGGCCTCAATCACAAATGTAATTTCTCAAGAACAAACAAGAACATACATGAGATAGCATTATTTCTTTTTACACACTCTTGAGGCAAACATTTCCTGTACTTCATGATCAAACTGCTTTAACTTAATGTACATGTAATAATATCATTGGGTACTTAACAATTGACATCATACCACACCGAGCGATGAAACATGTTTATAGTATCAAACAGTTATCAACATTTTATAAAGACTAAAACTTTTCAATAGAAAAGATTCCTTCCTATAAGAGTAGTGAAAGTTCTAGATAGAATTTAGCAACTAAGACACAACAAAAAGAAATTTTCCCTCACATTTTAGTAATAATATTTTACCGCGAGCATAATTGTTTCAAATCAATAGCCAATATAACACTTTCCTTTGTTTCTATTCTTGGCAACATTATGCTTTTTGTAAGAAGATATGGAACTATTCCTACCACACCTGTTGCCACTCCATACCTCGTTTATTATGCAAATCGTTACACCATAGTAATCTTGGTATAATTGTGCATTGTTTTTATGACACTACATGTAAGTATTATTTGCACACTTTTTAAACATGAAATCTTTCTGTAATTTCCACGTAAACGTTGCAGCAAATTAAGGATTAACCCTGTATGTGTTGCAAGGTTTACTGAAGTGTATCACAAATCAGTATGGGGGAAAGATTTTCTGAAACTGTTCATGATCCGAAATTCTGAATAATAGTTAAACAGAAATATGTTGTCACAGTCGGTACAATAGGCTTTTTGTGAAAAACAACAACTAACGAATAAACATATTTTCTATGTAGATAGTCTACAAAGAGACAGTCAGACAGTGAAAGACATCAGAATTATATAGTACATGACATATTAATAGTGCAAAAGATATAACCACAGAATGTAGAAGAAAATAGATGCTACAATTTGCATTACAGGTATCTACAATGACTAGACATATTCACTTTCCTTTTCTAGAAAAATTATTCCTCAAAACATGACTTATACCTAACATCTAGTATAAAAGAAGATCCATATCATTGAGATAAAAACCACAGGAAGACAAAAAAAGCATATATATATGTATGATTATGAAGGCAAAGAAACTACAGCTAAAGCAAGATTCATGGCAAATGAGGCTGGCATGAAAATATGATAAAGAAAGATTTAATATGAAAGATGAGCACAATATCATAGTTGTGTCAATTGGCCTATCAAAGAACCGGTTCTGCAGCCTTCATCGCATTATCAAACTATAATATGCAGTCTGATATTTATTGGCACTAGCCTGCAAAACAATGGCATTTTTTCATACATATTCAAGAGAGGTAAATAATTAATTATTGAAAGCATGTGATAGAAAGCATGAGTATGCTTGTATGTAAGCAAACAAGACTTCCTTTGTTTTTTTATATTTACTATCAAATGTTGACATAGAAAATTTATTTAAAAAAAAATAGAATTGGTATAAATGCAAAATGCGATCACATTGTATATCCTAAATTATGTACATAGCCTGTCAGAATGATAGAATTCCAGATGAGAGTCTGGGTCTGATCACAGCCTAGTTCCTCATTTCTACATCACTATTGAATGATCGCCTCTGATACATCACCATCATTTATAACAATGGTTTTAATAGGAGTTATGCGCATGTGTTCATAGTGATGAGACACAAAAAGACTGGTCATTCACATGTCTTATTACATGATAAGCTATGATACAATCCTATACAAACTTACTATGATGCTGGTACCTGCATGGATGATTTAGATTACTTAATGTCAAGTAAATTAAACAAAGTGTTACATCAGACTTTACTTTTAGTCAGAAATACATTCTGATATACATATAAATTTAGAGGCTAATATTCATCCCCCCCCCCCCCCAAAAAAAAAGAAAGAAAAGGGGTGGACACTGGATGGCATTCTACATGTGCAGAAAATAATCAAATGGCAGACGTATAAATCAAAATAAAGTAGAAAAATATCAGCTGCATAAACATAAACAACTAAAAGTACAAAAGTAAATTTCTGTAGTTAGCCGATTTCATAAAGAACAACTATTCATTGTACTTATTTCAGTGTCTGATTTATTTGTTGCTGATTATGCTCAATGAGTACTCTTCAATAATCACTTTCATGCTGTCTCTGAGCAATTCAGCAACACATTTTTGCACCCTCTTATATTCCACTGACCCAACTGAATACATTGTTTCATCCGTTTTGACCATCTTCTACTGGTTTTAGGCAGGTATTCTCTCTCAGTTTGATCTGTCTCTCAGTTTGATCTGTCTCTCCGTTAATCAACAGTTGTAGTTGAACTTCATCTTGATGAGGTAGCGCATTTGGACCTGTGCAACATCATATACAATGTATCTGAAAGGGAGATCAAATTAAGGAAGAACTTCATTCAACTTTGGCAGAAATGGCATGACTGGTGAGGAACTCTTGAGTTGTAGATGAATAATGGAAACTTAGCCTGATACCACATAGCCTTTGAACAAGGCCACCTGTCTGATATAGACGCCGAGCGACTAAAAAGAGACTAATCGCGAAAGCCCAAGTGAACGACAGAGCGAGAATCACAGCCAGTTAGCCTTTGGTAATCTGGTTTTGATTTCTTATGTTAATCTTTGTTTCCGACTGGAATACTCTACCGAAATAGTAGAACGTTGAGGAGTATCCCAGAAGAAGAAGAAGTAGCGTCCAATCACCGAACATATCCTCGCATTACGTCAGCATAAAGTATCCATCACACACACACACACACACACACACGGAGTAAACTGTACGTATATTACAAACATGGAACTACTAACTATGAACTGACGTTCATAGTTCACACACACACTGACGTTCTTACATGTTTTGATAATGAACGAATCACGAACGAAGCCAACTGGGGGCTGGGGGATGGCCGTTCTAATTGGTCAATAAATCCAATGCTATGAATAATTCATGCGGAGCAGTAATATCCAGATTGCAAAAGGCTCTCGTGGCGGTCGCGCTTTCACCCTGGGTATCTAGACTCATCTCAGCCGCTTAGCCAGAGTCACGAGGCCTTGTCAAAAGGCTAGATACCACAATGCTCTGAATAACCTCAGATAACAGGATCACAGATAACATATTTAATTTTTATTTTCAAAGTTATGAATTTTTGTGTAGATTATGGCATATAGTGTTCATTGAGTATACCATACAGACAACTCTGTTGTGTACTTCTCCCTTTCTTCAAACAAAAACATTTTTTTCTATAAACACATGAAACAGTCACATTCTCTATTATCTCTACTACCGATACTCAAAACTAAAATTTGGTTACTCCTACAAACTGCACTTCTTTTAGCAATGATTTAACAAATATATTTAATACACTTTCCACGTAACAACATGGGGTCACCATGCAATTCCATTCCTCAGATTTTGTGAAAAGATGAACAACCAAATTATACTTGGGTCTATAAGTACATTGTCTTAATTGAAGGCATGTCCCAAAGTCCTCATCTAAAGAAATGTTCGCAGGATTATGTAAACTGAATGAAATAGTAAAAAGAAATGAAAGAGTCAAATATTCTAATACAAAGCTTACATAACCTTGTGACCAAAGCTGTAAGTACAATTCTCTCTCATAGCAATCCGTAACTTGTTTTCCATCCAAACAAATATTGTTATAAAAAGTGACTAGTTTGCCTGGTTGAAAAGGATACTCATTGTAGAGAAGGCTGGTATTGTTGATGTTACTATCGCAACCTTTGCCCATGGGAACCTGAAGATTGTCTTCAATGGTAACCAATCCAGATGGATCAGGACAAGTGCGTCCAAGACCTGTTAACAATCAGTCAAAAGTACCAGTTAACAAGTTACTATTAATGATAACATGATACCCGATTGGCATTTAGTGTTATGGCAGCAGCATGATAATCAAGAGTCTACATTTTCACCAAAAAATAATATCTACAGCAAATTTGGCCTTTTGGGCAAGTTTCATACATTGTTTATTATATTTTTATATTCATAAAATGGTCAAATAAAACGTGTTGTATACAAATATAAGCCCAAATCCTTTTTTCACAGAATTCTTTAAATAATATAATTTTCAAATCAAACGCCATGCAAAAAGATTCTTTTAATTCTATTCATTCAACCAAAGTTTCAAAGTGGTGAATAGCACTGAGATACAAAGACAACAATCATGTCTGTGAACAATTCTTTTAAAAAATGTGTTCCAAAACTGAGACAACCAGAAGTACTTTAGTTGATTTAAAAAGCTTTTATCTACCAAAGTTATTCTGAAGCTCTAATTTTGTGTTGGCAAATTTTAAGAACTAAAAGTTCTGTGAATTTATCGTATTAACAATGTCAACAGTCAACTCCTGCAATTCTCTTGTCAATATTGCCAATCACATTTCATAATAATAACAAGGATGTCTTTAAAATAATTTGCTGGTGGCTAAAAGCTGGTGGCCCATACCTTTAGTGCTGTGTTTGCCTGCAGGTGGCTTTGACATGCCCTTGGCTCCATAAAGCTCATACATATCACCTAGTGCAACATCGGAGAGAATCATCAGCCCAATGTTACTGCTGGCATTGGCGTAACAGTAGTTGGCGCTCTTTGTAACCATGTCAGCAAAGTAAAGACCCTTGCCAAACATGTAACCAGTCTGCGTGGATAATGAATTGGAAAAGGAAATCATGACTGGCAATCAATTTTATGAAATATACAAAGTAGAGTATAATCACTATCATGGGTAATGTGCAAAAGCTTTAAGTTTTTATTTTTGTATTAAGTGGTTATCCTGACCAGCTAATTTAGTTTAGAATACAAGACAATGATCAAATCTTTTTGTCAGATTTGACTTTGAATGAAATTGATCTTCGGGCCCTTTCACCCACATTTAAATTGTTTATAATTATATAGTCCAACCACTTCACTGGAATGACCACCTGTCTGTAAAGTTAGCCATTTTGTTTTGTAGAGCAGTTTTTCTCATTGATACATAGGAAAAGGAACCTGGCAAGAATACCTCTTAATAATGATAAATATTTTTGTTTCTTTCAAATCAGTTCCAGGTTCACTTTGTACCCTTAAACTATTCCACTGGCTTTCTTTGATCCTTTAGAACAGAAGCATCAAATAGAACCAGAAAGTTGTGAATAACAAGTTCCCCATTTGGTATTTAAAGTTATATTAAGATTCAAACTTACTGCTGGGGCTTCTGGGGGTGCAATCCTGAGCCCCTGAGACAGGATTCCTCCAAAGTTGGTTTTACGAGATCCATGCCATAGCAGCTGTCTATTATGAAGCTTCTTGAAAGGCTTGAACCTTGTACCTTCCCCATCTCTGTTAATCCTAAAGACCTCTTCCACAGACAGGCGATACCAGTTGTGGGTAGCTGCATGAGTGTTGTCTGTGTACTCTTTAATCAACTTGAATTCATCACTCTTCTTATCAACCACCTATAGTAACAAAAGGCAAAAGATGTATAGACAAAGTACATATAGCACAAACATTGGACAATGCAATAAAAACAAAATCTTTGTTGCTTGCAAGTATGATGCATATCAATTACCAGAAGACCAGTACCGCTTGCAAACCTTCCAAATAAACAAATAGGAATATATAGAAGGGACAATTGTGGAGACAGTTTCACTTAGAGCAGGAAACTGGCTCGGGCTTTAACACTGTTGCTTTATCCCTCTTTCTGTTCTTATTATTTCACACAAATTTTGACATGATAAGTCCAAGACGTAGACCTGCCGGTATCTTGTTTTTTTAATCACCCACTCCATAGACATACAGTCAATATGAATGGGTCTTGTACGGTACAGTGGATTTTCTTTCAGTATGATTAACATGAATATTACAAACTTTGTGTTAGAGCAAGAAGGTCATTAACTCATCCTCCTCCACATCATCTTCTATCTTTAATAGTAGAAAGACATACCTCCATGGGACATTTGAGTTTTTGATAGTGAACATCGATGGGGTCTACACCTGCTTCTCCTGTTTCTTTGAGCATGCTGTATGCAATCTCAATGTCTAAAAGACTATCCAACATCTGAGTCTTGGCCTGATCATCAGAGATGTTTGTATGAAAGCAAAGATATGCGGCATTAGCAGAAACAACATTAATTGTTACATTAATCTCACATGATCCTACTTAACAGATATAGCTGGATTTAAGTACTTGTCTTTTCAATTTCTTATTTCAGACAGCAAAAATAGTCACTTGTATAATAAAGCATGAAAAAATAGAAAGATATAAAGCCAAGTTTTATAATGAAATGATAACCCCACTTTCAATCTTACTTTTCATGGCAAATTTTGTTGACTTTATAGAGTACATACAACTGATATACTATCTGATCTGCTCAGTGTATCAGTAAGCGGCAATGCTAGTACTCTAACGACCACTCAATATACCTCTCAATACTAAAAAAAAAAACAATTTTAAAATCAAAATCTCAAGCTCAATGTCAGAGAAAGATATCTTTAAGAAATTTTTCTTTCAAGTTAGGAATACAATCTCTTTCCAAACATATAACCTATACAACCTATAGTTCCAATAATTTCTTGTAAACCAATATTGCAAATTTCCTGATCACGGCTTCTTCCAACCATTTGATATCTAGATGGAAATGAAAGACACAAAATATTCAGAATTTTTCTGTTTGAAAGTCTCTCCTAACTCTCACTATAGTGCCTTTCTGAATCATCTATTTTGTGAAGTACATTGTGAAGACTCTTCTCAGTACATCTGCAGAATATTCTATACTGACCTGTATGATGTCTAGTGAGTCCAGCAGTGGAATAGATTTCAGACCAAAGTTATGCGGAATCAGTGTGTAGAACTGGTTAGAGGCATCTAAGATGCCTGATCTAGGGGCTTTATCAGTCAACAACTAAAAGGGCAAAAAGCAATCAGAAAAAAAGTTATTAGTACTTACAAAAATAAAGTGTATAAAAGCCACAGAGGCCTATATATTATTACTATCTACAAACACAGTTCAAGAAATTCAGTTTGTGAAGTTAAATTTGACAGCATCTGTCTATAAATAGTTTATAACTGCATCAGTGACAATCCGGTGGATGATATTTCTCTCAAATATGTTTTTCTCTTATTCATGCATGTTTATACATATCTTGTCATATGAACAGGGTAAATAAGTTGTTTACCTTCTGAAGGTCAGTGAGTACTCTGTAAGCATCCTCAATCTGTTTCTTAGACAGCTTTCCTAATGGCATCTTCTCTAGATCAATCTAAAACAAAGAGAGAAACAACAGTAAGCACATCACACTATAATTGAAATAAACTTTTGAAGAAAATTGTCCTTTTACTCTTTAAAGGGATCCGATAACTTTGTCTTAGATCCTTTAGAAATAATCCTTGATTTAGCTCATGCTGCAATGATAATTATAAACCTTTAGGTCAGTCAGGAACTCAATGACTTTTACAAGCCGATCGCCTGTCTGATTATCAAGATATTAATGATTGGAATTACCAATTTTGAAAACCGTTCACCGAACGATGCATTTTGGCCTTTTCCAAACCGGTCACTTAAAGATTTTTACTTTTTTGAGGCACTTCTTGATGATTTTGAAGCGTGATTTTTTAGGGCTTCAATATTACACCATATCACAGACACTGGTAACATGTAGGACCGTGTATCTCAGATTTAACATTGTTAAACGATCCCTTTAGTACTATCTCTATCCATCTTTAAGCACTGTATAGAAACAGTTATTCACCATGCACATTTGAATGACTTGACCCTCATACTCAGAGCATCCACAGAGAAAGATTTTCCTTTTCAAAATAGAAGAAACTATGCACTCTTAACAGTTATAGGCTATTACTAATTTTTCAATTATTATAATCTTAACATTTTTCTGACCATCAAATTAAAAAAAATGTTTAGCCCCACTGTGAAACAATGCATTAAAGGCAGAATCAACAACTAAAAATTAAAAAAAGGAAACTTTAATTCATAAAATGTATGCAGTCTGCACACAAAAATAATATGATGGTACATTTAGAGTAGACATACAGATAAATACCTCAAATTCCAGCATGGTTTTCTTGAGCTCCTCTAAGTCAAAGATCATTTTCATCAAACTCTGGATCTGTTTTGGTAGCTGAGATGTCTTCCCTGCACGCTCTTTACTGGACGTAATACGCTCCTCCTCCTACAAGGTAACAAAATATGACATATTGCATTCAGAATCCTCGTCAAAAGAAATACATCAACCATTGGTAAAATTCTTTACATGGGCTCTCACTCAAGTTACTGAAGAGAAATGAAGTAGCACATAAAGACATGGATGAAAAGATATAAACATACTCACTGAAAATTATCAAAAATTAGAGAAATAGATCAGTGACAGTTAAGAGAAAAGTCATCCTACAACCATCCTTTAAAGGGATCCAGTAACTATGTCTTAGATCCTTTAAAAAATCCTTGATTTAGCTCATGCTGCAATGGTAATTATAAACCTTTAGGTCAGTCAGGAACTCCATGACTTTTACAAGCCGATCGCCTGTCTGATTATCAAGATATTTATAATTGAAAATCGAAATCAAATTTTGCGTTTGCCAAACTGTTTTCATAACACTACAGTCTATTGGGGAAAACGAGTATGGTAAAACCGGTCACTCAAAGGTTTTTACTTTTTTGAGGCACTTCTTGATCATTTTGAAGCGCAATTTTTGTTTTAGGGCTTCAATATAACACCATATCACAAACACTGATAACATGTAGGGCCATGCATCTCAGATTTAACATTGTTAAATGATCCCTTTAATATCTAACCTCATCATAGCTGATGTCTAGAGGAAAGAACCTGATAACATGTAGGGCCATGCATCTCAGATTTAACATTGTTAAACGATCCCTTTAATAGCTAACCTCATCATAGCTGATGTCTAGAGGAAAGAACTTCATGGGGTGCTTGATAGGGTTCTTAGCACCAAACTTGTTCCCGGTCTTCTCCAGGTATGTGTTCTTGAACATCTCCTTAGCACCAGCCAAGTCAGACCCATAGTGCTCTGACTTGCTTCCTCCGATAGTAGTCCCAACTCGTCCCCAGGATCGGTAGACCCAATATCTACAGGAACAAGAGAAGAGTGAGTAAAATATATTCTTTCTTCATGTCAGCTTGTGTATGATAGTGTGATAGCTTCAACCCTCACAAAATATGAGGTTCATCATCACACCCCCTCCAACCAACCCCCTCCCCTCACAAAAAAAGATTTGCAACTACTTTGCAACCCATAATCTCCCAAACAGTTTTTTTATAAAAACAATTAGTCATACTCAACCTTTGACAAAAAGTTAACAAAATGTGGCACACCACCGGGCATCACATGACCTTTTGTGCAGACAATGGATAATGTATCGGTATGTCAAAAATCCCTTTAGAAAGAACAGCTGAAGAGACTTCCCAGGGTAAACAAATTTATTGTATCATCATTATTATTATTTCTGTTTTCATTGTTGTTCTTCTCCTTCTTCGTATCAATTATATTCATCATCATCATCAAAATCATGATTATTAATACTATTATTATCATCATTATTATTTTAATCATTATTATCATCATTGTTATCATTATCATTATAATTAAAATTATCATTATAGTCGTCATTACTATCATTACTATGCTTCCTCTTCTTATCGTTTTCATTATTATCATTATCATTATCACTACTACTACTACTACTACTTCTTTTTCTATTATTATTGATAATAACGATAATAATATTCTTACTTGGCTTGCGAATCATGTTTGATAAGTTGCAGTTTGTAGTAAGAATTTGTTCCACGGCTGATGTCTACGAGACCCAATGTTGCACTGTATAACACACCTTTTTCCTTGTGAACATGTGTGGCATGACCTAACAAAGTAGAGAAAAACCAAAGCATTACAAATTATGAAAGTACAAACACGGAGTTAACCTGTTAAAAATGAAATAACTGATAAGGCACATTTTAAACATATAAATTATAGGATCAACGGTATAGACACCTTGGAAACATTTACTTGATGTGAATTACCTGCAGAGAAAATTCATTTGACGAACAAATCAACAAATCTACAAGCAATCATGTATATTTCATATATAGTGGATTGGACTCCACATATACAACGTTGCTAGAACCATCAAATTTTTATTGAATTGTAAACATTTGTTTTATAACAAATGTTGGCCAAAACTCCTCAAGAATTAAAAGAAATAAAAAGAAAACTCAACCCAAAATTATTTGCTTTCAATACAGGTTTAAATACACAACACAAAAACAGAAACAAATTTAAAAAACTTAAAGAAAATTCAATTAATTTACAAAATAATAATTTGTCAATGACCTCTATAAAACAAAATTACCAGTACGGTATGTAAAATCAAATTCATAAGAAGTAGTACTTTGTAAAATCTTAGAAATTTTCACAAAGTGACGTACTAAATATAATCTCTGGTCCTTTTTTACATGCTAAATACATATTTTTAGGGGGCTATTTTATATATACTTTTATCTTATTTCCTAGAAAACTTGACTATTTTCTTCTGTTTTCAGAAATAAATGTAAAATTTACAACAAAACATATTTCATTGGCTAAGGATTTGGAACAAAAAGATAAATGAAAATATATTTAGAGTTGAAAATAGTTTTAAAAAACATATTTCTGTGCTGGTTTTTTCACCATTTTTCAACTAGTTTTTTACTATTTTATTTTTACTAAGGGTAGTACATGTATGTGCATGTGTCTACCTGACCCCTCTCCTGTTCAGAAGCTGCCTGGCTCAGATAATAATACATCTGAATTCTAAACCTCTATGATACTTCCTTCATACTTCATCTACTCCTCATCTTATTGGTCTAGTAGCATCACAAGCTCATGAATATTCATGTCCTAGTCTTTGATTCTGGATTGAGTGTGCGATGACTAATGTGTGTGCATACTGGTAGAGTCATACGTAGAGATGAGAGGGGGGACTTGCAATCATACATCACTATCTTATTAGAGGAGAGCAGGACAATATTGACGCTCATGAATAGCTTGTAGGAAATCACTGAATCTTCTTCAGTTCTTTCTTTTGCACCAGATTTTTCTTTCAACAATTTCTGATGGAGAGTCATATAGTACTCTGTTGAGCTTTTTTTTTCTGGGAGCAGCAGCAAATAGCTCCAGCAAGGCGCTAACAACAAGGTATGTACATTTTTTCTTACATTTTACATTTCCTGGTTTGCTTAAAACGCACATCAATACCATTATCATTAGTATTAAAACTTACAATCTAGCTGAGCATGGTAGAAGACATCACTACTTAAATATCTGTTCTGCATCCATTTTTTTAATTAAAGTATTTCAAAGAAAATAGACAAAAAGTGATAAAAGATATCTGCATCTACCTCATGTTTAATAGTAATGTCACTCCAATATTCTTTCTTCACTAAAAGAAGCTGATATATCTTTATCAGATTACCAAATTACTTTTGTTACAAGCAGGCTTCTGTTGCTATGACAAATTAGTAATGAAAGGGGAAGTCCACCCTGATATAAATTGGTTTTAATAGAAGCAGAAAATTAGAGAAACAATTCAGTGAAAGTTTCAGAAAAATCGGACTACAAATAAGAAAGCTATGAATCTTTCAAAATCATGAAAATCCTGGTATCTTTCAGACAAATTGGCAATGCGGTCAGAAATTGAGATGTCATCCCCTCACTATTGACCACTGACCTGAAGGACAGAATGACCCAAAATCTCAATTTTTCTTAATTTTAGTAGACCTATCTTTTAGGGGGGTGCATGAAAGATATATGATCGAGGTAGACATGTAGAAAATATATCTTTTTATCAAAATAGAATTTAATGACATTTCTTGCATTCAACAAAGGATAAAATGTAAGGGGGTGACATCATATTTAGAGACCGCGTTGCTAATTTGGCTCACAGATATTTTGTATTTCATGAAAAGTTATGGATTTTAAAAATCCATAACTTTCTTATTTATTATCCAATTTTTCTGTTCTTCTCATTTTTTTCCTTGTATTGAAACAAATTCATTATCAATTCAATTCAATTCAATTCGTTTTATTCATCCAAATTCACAATTCAAATTTGTTTTGGTCACACATTGTAAAAATATGTAAGATATATATGAATAACTATATCTTTGTGTTTATAATCACAAAAGAACCATCAAAATAAAAGATAGACAACATAGCAAATTAGCAATATTCTCATTATTATCAGGGTGGACTTAACCTTTAATAAAGGAATGCTGCCCTGTTATAGCAGAATAGATGAGGCTTCATCAACCCTGGTCTTCACACTATCCAATAACAACCTCATCTGCAGAACACTTGTGAAGAGATTGGTCAAGGATGATATAAGATCTAACATCCGTGTGAAAACTGGTATTAATTGTCAATTCACAGTCACATATGATTGATGCCTCATTCTTACTGCAAACCTCTTAAAACTGACTGGGATTTTTTAGTCTCCATATCTACTTTAGCCTCATATTATAGAGATAATTTTCTTGTAGTGAATCTTGCAGTGAAAAATAAAAATGATTTCCTGCTGTTTCTGTTTTGTTTCTATTTTTAATTCTAGAAAAAGGATAACAAACTGGACATTTGAAGATTAAAGTAAAAGATATCAATGGTGCAAATACCTGAATATGAAAGAATTCATAATCAAATAGTGTTGATAAAAGTCACTGTCAAGTGCAGGATAAAGACAGAGAAAAGCTAGGGCACTTTGTTTGTATCAGAACAGCTTAGTATGAGTGGCCATTACCAGAAAGGGATTACTAGCTCTAGATGAGAAGTGTGGCCTGCCGAATGTCATGGACGCTTACATCTTGTTGATAAATCTGATACTTCAAGCTAAGCCTGGCACGTACAGTAGGTCTGTCATCATCAGCTCGAGATTGCCAAATACCCCGCTTTCATGTCTGTACCTTTCCTATCGCACTTTGTATAAATGTATCATGTATGTATTTCATCTTTTGCACAAGCTGCGCCTTGAGCATTTGACTGTCAAGTGGATTTGGCGCCTTATAAATCATATGTATTATTATTATTATTATTATTTCAACTATCCTGATCACAAATTATCCAGTTAGTTTCCGTCTTCATCAGCCCGAAGATGTAATTAGTGGGCTATTTGGTTGGGATAATCATCCCAAGATATCTTGGGATAGTTTGCAAAATATCCCACTATTTGGCAAAATATCTCGCTATTTGTCCGGTGCGTCATCACCAGCCCGAAGATTTGCACTATGCACGGTTGAGTTTCAAGTTTCGAGGTCGAATCTCGAGCTGATGAAGACGTGATTTGTAACTTCTGGATTATTTTCCCAAATCAGAAATAGCGGGCTATTTGGCAATCTCGAGATGATGAAGACGCGCCTAGTGTGCTATTTCAAAACAATTACTGTCTTTCTGTTTGATCTGAGAAGTCGATAGTGATCAGATGAAGGAGGGTTCATTTGTGCTTGTGTTTCCATGTGTAAGGATGATGAGAGGTGGGGAACATGATGTTACATTCTTTATCACATCTTGGTAAGAATCTACTAGATTGAAAATAAAATATGAAAAAGTGTACGTATTTGCCGGCATATAGGCCGCAGTATTTTTGGAAGAGAAAATATCAAAAAGTCGGGGTGCGGCCTATGCGGCGAAAGAGTAAAAAATGATTTTTTTTTTTTTTTAATTTTTTAATTTTTTATTTTTTTAATTTTATTTATGGCGCTATGCCTGGCAATGTCTTCCAGCTCAGTAATCAGTGTGTTGACTCACCACTCGGAAACTACAACAACACTCAAATTTGTCTGTCATCTTTGTTTGAAAGTAATCTTTCTAACAGATCTCAATATGTAGTTTATAATAATAATTCCTCAATTTTTTTTTCTATAACAAATGGTGTACCACAAGGTACACTATTGGTACCATAGGTACTCTATTGTGTTTAATTTACATTAATGATCTTACACATTCTTCTAAAAACGACATTGTTACTATTATTTGTGACAAGTTTACAAGCACAAATCAGCGCCTTTAACTGCACCTCGATGTTAAATGAAGGTCCTTCCCCGCGTGGGTTTTCGGCAACAACCAAAAAAAAAACGATTTTTTTTTTTTTTTTTTTTTTTTTTTTTTTTTTTTTTTTTTTTTTTTTTTTTTTAAATTTCAAAATCGGGGGTGCGGCCTATACGGCGGTGCGGCCTTTACGCCGGTAAATACGGTAGTCATTTTGTCTCAAATCCTGTAACGTTACAGAATGTCTATTTTTTTTAACAGACTTTTGTCAGTTTTCCTAAAAACATTCAATCCCAAGTAAAGAAAGATTAAAAAACGATTGCTGAATTGGATAAAAGCCAGGATATATCCTAAACATTCTCAATTGGGTAACATGCAATCTTAGTTAAAGATCTTTCACACAGTACACATCAAGAAGAACTAGGAATCAGATTATATCTTTCAACCTGACCTGTGCCTGTAGGTCCCTGATGACTGTGGTCCACTTGGCCTATTATCAAACTGACCATCAATCAAATTCCATCCACATACCAACTCAGCTTTCAGTCAATTTGTACCTTTGCATTAAATTTCATCTTTCAACTCCTAAATGGTTGGAAATTTTCTACAGCCCCCAGAGGAAATAGAAATCATCTCATCTTCTAAAGTCTAGATTGTTAATGGGATGTTTATCTAGGGTACTGCACCACTCTCAAGTGGTTTACCTGTGGGTTGTAGCAAAGAGCTTCAAATATTAACCCAACAGAAGGGCTGATGAGTCTCAAAAAGAAGAAATATTATAACAATTTGAAGTAGAAACTCTTCAGCATATGATAAATCCTTCTTAGTGAAGAGAGGTATAAAGGGTGATCAACTACCTGAAGATACAAGGACAGAAACTTTTTTTTTTAATGGTTACAACAACAGATATTTGGACTGACCCTTCTTTTCATCTCTCTGATCTGAAGAATTCATCATCATCCCTTAGAATTCATAACTGCAAAAATGGGTGCAACAGGATCAGTTTATTTGCTCATTATCTTATTTTGTTGTCTTCTTCAAATGATACACTTTGTCACACTATTGCTCTTTTATTGGATCATACCAATTTCATTTTTACCCAGCAAGAAAATCAAAGAAATTAAAACACAAAGTGGCTTGTAATAGATAATATGCAGTCCCTATTAAGAGCTCTCGGCAATGAAGTAGATATATTTGAGCCTTTGTCCAAATTTCTATTGCTACATGAGAATGGATGGTGTTAATCCTATATGATTCAGAGTATTCATGTTTGTCTATCCTCTCAATGAAACAACAGTGAGCCATTCTTCAGGCTCTATGTTGACTCAGTGAATAAGAGTTTTGAACCTGTACTGATACACACTGAGGGATACCCCCATATCCATTAGAATGTGTCATGCTAAAAAGCAAGCTTCCTTTTACAGTTCAATTCTTTACATTATCTGTTCATTCATAAACATGATAGATTCAATATTGTGCATGATTTTAAAAAAAAAGTTTGTTTATCTGCTTTGAATGAATTTATATATAATCAATTCATTGGTTTTCAGCCCTCTCAAATTGGAAATAAAACTTTGTAAACTCCATGCTAATATAAAAAAGAAAGAATGCATTATCAAAAAGAGCAAATACAGGATATGAAAACAGGATATGAAAACAGCAAAGAGATGTTTGACATCTGAAAGTTTACTGTGTGACTATGTGTCCTTGATAATACGGGGACCAATGAACTTTCTCAGCTAAAAACTGCTCTCAAAAAACAGGTGCTTTTCTTTCCATTTACCAAGAGGGAATAGGCCTAAAAGCTGAGATATATTACTTTCAACATAGTGATTAGGGTCAAACAAATTATGTATAGGCCTACATGTATACGTAATAGACTCCATTCCCTCTAATAGAAGGTACAAACAATAATTGCTAGGACTAATTTTGATTTCCCCAAGCCAAAACTAAATCCTTAATAAGCAATTTGTACACAAGGTTTCTTATCCAATCTCTGAGGTTATGTTTACTAATTCCTTCTTACATTTATATGCATCTCAGAAAGGATATTGACATATTGATCTTGGTAGGCTATTACAATTTTATAGTGCTGATAGAAAGAGCATCATATGCACCGATTTCAAGCTCTAATAAATTCAAAACATGTGAGGATGATT